ATAAGGATCTAATAGGGTGAATGAAAGGTAATCCTAAGTAAGTCAGTCCTTATAATGTCCTAACGACAAATGAGTAAGAAAGACCTTTATAAGGTTATAGTGATTGGGTTCACATTAGGATCTTAATGTACCAACCCTAGTGTATGATATAATATGGTTTAGTTAATCAGGTCCTTGTCGGGATCTCATTCATTGTACTTAATATGATTTACATCGTCAAGTTTTAACAAAACAATTTTTGGATGTCATTTCCAAATATAAAGATGTTTGTATTGAAAAAAAAAAACACTTCAGATCACTTGAATATATTTGTAAAATGCTATAGAAACTATCCTTTTTTTAGCAGTCAATAAATAGTTGCAAAATTAACGTGACATGCAACTTTTCTCTTTAACACTACTTTATGTCTTGTCACCTTGTGATACTTTATGATCTTATGATCTCTATATTCATTTTATGTTTCTTTTTCGAAACTTTTTACAAGTATGCGATCAAGCGATCTAAAATATTATTTCATGCAAATATCTTCTTATTTGAAAATGACATGAAAGAATTTTCAGCGTGTCATGTTTTATTCCTAATTTCATCATCCAATATAGCCGTGGCGAGTAATCAGGAGTCATAATTTGAAAAAAAAAACGTAATAAGGATTCCATAAGGTAACTCAATAAGGACCTGACTACGAATCCTTACTAAGGTCCTGATATCCACGCTGTGTTACATGACTTGTGTTACTAGGACCCGATAGTATTACCTTATTGGGACCTGATACCAAATGAGGTTAACCTGATCAGGAGCATGGGATAAATTTCTAGTCGGGTGCAAAGCCGAGAGCTCTTTCGTCTTTCGGGCCCATTCGTGTCGGCCCGAAATCGGGAAGAATGGAAAACCCGCCCGCGATCGGCGGCTCACGGAGTTCGAACTTGCTGCCGCTATTTCCCAATCTCGCGACCTGCTGTCGCTTCGCCAACGAAACCGGCATTTCTCGCTCGTCCTCAGCGAGATTCCATTCCAAGGCATCTCGAGAGAGAACCGAGCGGAACTGTCTCACGAGCTGTCTCTCGTCTCGCGCTGTGATTTACGCGAGGTCCCAAGCGTGCTTCAGCTCGTATATCGCCGCAGTCTGTCATTGACAAATCTTCGCCGGCCGAAAGTTAATTTTGGGATGAGATCCGAGCGAGAGTTTTTCCTCCCGCCGGCGCGCTCCCCGTCAGAGTAGCGTCGACGTACTTTTCGCACTTACCTGGCGCGTTACTCCGCCAGTCACGAGATTTCCTGAATGGCCACGCGATCGCCGCGTGAAGGCCGCTCATTTTCGAGAGAGGCACGTGCACGCGATTCGATATAATCGCGTTATATCCGCGGGAGAGGAAGGAAGAGAGACGATCGATTTATCGCCCTTCGGTCAGCGTGACGTGTTCTCGTCCGCTAGATTATTTACGCACCCGAGGATTGCGTCCCGAGTGAATTTGAAATTTCCTGCGGTTTATTTCAATATTCGCGAGAGGATATATACTTGACGTCCCCCATTTCTGGTAGGACAATCTCAAGATATCTGCTGTTTTTGGGATTGCAACAACGAGCCACGGGGGTGAGGGATGCTTGGAGCAGGATATTTTTGACGACACGCAGCTATAAATGTAATTCTTTGAGATTTTGTTCGCAGAATGGAATAGCAGCCGGCGAGTTAGTCGAAATCGAGTGACTTTTCATTCATGCAGTATGAATTCTTCCATCTCGAACGGTCTCGAATATCTCCAAATTAGAAATAAAATCAATCAGTCACAATAATGAAATCAATCGTGAGAATAAAGTCATAAATAAGTCTCAATCAATCAATAATAAATTCAGTCATAAATAAAATTATAATAAAATGTCAGCTGAGTGAAAAAATAATTTCACAATAAAGTCACGAGTAGAATTATTCCAATCGGAAATAAAATCACTTAAGTGAAATCAATCAACCGTTGATATCAGGCTTAGTAATTCTATTCTATTTTCGATAATCTCCAATCTTTATTTAAAAATCGATAGAACAAGATTATTCAATGAAATATTCTCCGTTGTTGATCGATGACCTTGCGCTATTTATTGGACAGTTGCCGAATCTCATCATGATAGAAACTTGGTGGCTTTCAAGGCTGTTAAGTCATCGATGAAATTTCGTACGTCGTCAACTGTCGAAAAATGTATATCAGACAGTGCGCGTTGCATCGATCGAAACAAGCGGAAATCTGATGGAGCCAAGCCTGAAGAATACGTCGTGTGTGGGAAAATTTCCCAGCCCAAATGTAAGATGGCTTTCTTTGTCTTCTGCTGTATGCGGTTCAGCATTGTTATGTAATAGGATGACTTTACGGCTGTCTTGTCCAGTAAATGGCTTTTTTCTCAATTGCATCGTTCAAACAAAACCAATTACTCTTGATAAATCTCTGTTTTAATCTCGGTTTTACCAAAAACTCATAGTACAGTACAGCCTTCTGGTCCCATTATATACAGAGAAGAACTTTTTCTCCAAAATGTTTGGGTTTGCTATCGACGGGTTGTCGGTTGACCAAAGTCTACTCATGATTTTTCGTGTTTAGGATTTTCACACATAATCCATTTTTTGTCACCAGTTACGATTTTGTGCAAAAGATCTTTTTTTGTTGTCTGACGAGCAAAATAATGTCAATCGGCGATTTTTGTTTGACTGTCAATGGTAGCTCGTGTGAAATCCACTGCCCTTCTTTCGGTATCTTTTCCATACGATATAAACGATCTCAAGCTTTCTAGCTTACTCTCAGTTTTTCCGAAAGTTCTTGTTTGTGCCGTATTTTCATTTAGTAGATTTTACAACTCCTCCTTTTCAAATTTCTTAGCTGACCGTGAGGCGTGATTGGTCGTAAAGATCAAGATCATCACTTCGAAAACGTCAAACCAGTTTCGGCACATGCGATCGGTCACAACATTTTCACCATGAGCAGCACAAAGCATTTTAGTTGCTTCAGAAACGTTTTTGTTTAAATGAAACGCGAGATGCATCGCGCGTATCGAATGTTCGCTCTTTGTTGATAGCCATCGAACAGTTAAATGTCAACAGTTTAAAACAGCAAAAGAGCAAAAGGGAGAATATTCCAATTTCAAATTTTACTCTGAACTATGCAAATTTCATCGGAGAACGAATTAACTACCTACCAGACCTGATAAAATCGCTCACGAATGAAACGTAATTTCGATCGTAAACAAACCTCGCCGCGCCGACGCGAACACTTGTTCCGTGAACTGGAGTGCTTACACTTAAAATTAGGCAAGAACGCGCGCGGCTGGAGCCGAGCTTCTCGAGGAGGGCGCACGTCATGTTTTCTTTCTCTGGTGTGTATCAAAGTTCCACGCGCGCGCGCGCGCGCGTGCGGAACTTGACATTCCCGACTGGGAATTCCTTGCTGGATTATTAGCGAGGATATTAACGGGGCCGTCTGGCGGCCGATCAAGAGAGTCCGGGAATCGCCGGCGGCGAAGATATAATACGGTGGAATATCTCGCGCGACCCCGCGCCGAAATACACACCTCGGTGGGGGAGGAACGACTTCGACGTCGACGGTTCCTTATAAAAAGGGACGCGCGGCGTCGCGACGCCGTTATTCGCGCCGGCGGAAGCGAGCGTACGACGCCACTCGATAATTCGGAAGTGGAAGTATATCTTGTACTCTGTCGGCTCGCGGCTTTTTCATTCCACTCTCTCCGCTCAAATCTTCCTCTCCTTTACCGTCGTAAGAGTCGCGAAGCGCCGTCGAGCATCGTGCTTTTGTCTCCAACGTCGCGTGGATTAATCGCGCCGCTCATCATGTCGTCGGTTATGTATGTGAGTATACTTCTTTTCATAATAAAGAAGAGAGACGACATATTTCTTTGGGTTTCGGTCCGCTGTATTTCCTTTAGCCGTGAGATAGTTGAAGATAGCGTCCTGAACTTAGCGTCTTGAAATCATCCGGAAAGTGGATTCTTTCCTGTCTGTCTGAGAAAAACTTTCACGCTGAATGTTGAATTATTGAATCTACTCCTCCCCCCAAATTGAATTCATTATTTCTTCAGGGAGTTGAGTGAAACTATGTTTCTTTTTAGTCTTCAGTTTCATATATTTCTTCATCGTCAAAGAGCCAATGTTGAGGTCAGGTCAGCGCCTGAGATTCGGAGGGTAGATTCCTCTTCCCGGGAGAAATCTTACAAGTCAAATTTATTATTCAATCCATTTCCAACCCGAACTTGTTATTTTTTCATAATTGAATGAAACTATTTGCGTATCATCAAATAATTAACATTCAGGTCAAGTTGGCGTTTCATAACGATTCGGAGAATAGATTCTTTCCTCTCAGGCAGATTTCCAAGCGGAATTCATTACTTTGATGCTTGATACGCTAAAAAAAAAGAGGGAGAGAATAGACTTGCAATTTTCCTTTAAAAAGGTCGCGACGATCGAAACTTTTTAAACTTCGCGCAAGACTCGGCGCGCCGTCCGAGTGAGAACGTACGAACATAACGAAAACGGATGAATGAATGCAATTAACGGGTGTTACCGTGAAAATCCACGAGGATGACGGCGTGATGTCTTCTTGTGGCCAGGGTCGGGCCATAGATTCAATTTGGCGGGATCCCAGAAATTCCTGGCTTATTAAAGACGTCAAACAATTTAACTCGGTGATGTCTGCGTAGTCGGATGTGCGAGCTTCGTCTTTAAGCTCCTCAAATATGAAATTTTCATAAATTTATGCTTTATTTAAGCGAAGTGTCGCGAAATTACACGCTTGCGATTCGAAGTACCAATCGCCTCGACGTCGATCGGATATCGTGCCCTTCTCCGATTCCTCGGATTTTCGATTAAACCAGACGCTCAGTTTGCACGGACGATTTACGTAGTAAATTAGATATGACATTCAATGACATCTGGCGTCTACAAATAACGGAATAACGAAGATTTACGTATCTCCCATCGTGTCTCTCTCTCTCTCTCTCTCTCACAGGAATCCTTGGGCGCCAAAGTTGCCATGTTCAATCAGTACGCCAGCAAGCACAAGGACAAGCAGAGTAAGAATCCGTTCACGTCCGGCTTGAACATCGAGAAGCCGAAATTCTCCAAGGAGGAATACGGCAGGTACGCGAGCTTTCACTTGGAGAATCTCGTCAAACTCTACTCGTACTCTTTAACGGCAAACACAACTTGGAGTCAATGAAAATAAATTCGCAGATAAAATTTTGAAACTTGAAACGTTGAAAAATTACTGTTGTTGAAAGAGTGTACGTTGATAAACTTGAGAAAATTACTCGTTCGCGGGATTGGTAAAAAGTTTGTGTAAGTTAATGAACTTGTGCCTCTGGCGACTCGCTTCAGGCCAGAAGCAGGTTCCAAGTCTGATCTCCGCGGTCGCAAAGCGAACGCTCACGTGCTGAAGGAGATTCTGGAGCTTTGCGAGATAATCATTCAGGAGGGCACAGCTTGCCAGGACCAACCTGACGTAATCGGCATCACATTCGGCGACATCTTCAATATTTACACTAATATCAGTAACAAGTGCGTGGGGCTGCTTCTGAGGGCGAGGAAAATGAAGTATTTGGAGTTCGAGGGCGAGTGTCTCTTCCAGGTGAGTTAGCTTGCGTTGATATTACACTCGCTGATAATTCACTTCTCTCTCTCTCTCTCTCTCTCTCTCTCTCTCTCTTTCTTTTTACGCTGCTTCCTTGTTTAATCCGCTCTAAATATTCGATTGTACACATAAAATACACACACAAAATTATTAGTATCTAATATTCACCGTAAAGAGCAACAGTCGATAGTCAACATTATCGATAGGCTTAAATAAACTCTTTTCTCCTGCTGCAGAGGAGAGACGACAACGTGCCGATATTCCTGGTGAAACCCATAGAAGAAATCCGTAAGGAATATAATCAGCGGCTAGAAGAGATCAGGACGGAGAGACTGGAGAGCTAATGCGACTGATGATGTTTGCCTCCGCGAATTTGCCTACGTTCGAAGAGACGACATTCGCGATTGCTGTCACTGGGAGCTGCCGGTCGGTCTGTATTTATTCGTCTGTACTTTATAAGAGCGCAAATCTTGTAATAAATATGTCCATTGTATAGTGCGTACTTTGTACTCGACTCGCGTCGGCTTTTGTATGTTGAATGAATGAGCGCGGTTTTCGATGTAAATAGTTCGCTGTTGACACGAATGAGATCCGTTGATGTGACATGAATGTCAGAGCTTTAGGGAACGATGCAATTTTTACGCTGCATCTTGTCGGAACGTTGTCAACTTTGTAAATATCCAACACGTAATAAACGATTGATGTATCCACCGTAGTCGATCTTTTACTTGTTTCAGTCTCTCAGAGAGACAACCTGATAGGAAATCCAAAGCATTTTTAAGCTTTTTGGTTATCCCGAGCGGTCTTTCTCGTTAATATTGAAATCATCACTATTGAATAAAATAATAATAAATCTAAATGAATATTCACACATCTCAATTGATGGAGCAACATCATCGTAAATTTCTATCAGAGTTCTATGACTTTCGATCGCCGTTTTCTTCCGATTAAAAATCAAAAGCAACATACGAGTATGTAAAAAATGTTCTTTAGGAAACTCCATCTTTAAGATGGCATTAGTATGAATTTTACTGCTTCGATTGTTAGTAAATGACTAAATATCATGGATTAATATTAAATTGACAAACAATAGCCATGATTGAAATACCTTCGACAAAACTGACATTAGTGTCATTTCTTGCAAAACCTTCTAAAACTAAATCACATTCCCAATAAATTCAAAGGGCGAAACCTATTGCGGCGATTTGCTATCCCGAGCAAAATCGCGTGTCTCGCTCTGCGCGTTCCGATGCCGCTTGTCTCATTGCCAAATAGACAACTTTTCGGGCGCGAGCCCGAACTTCGAACAAAGACTCAGGAGGAGGGAGCAGGTGGGGGAGTCGGGAGAAACTCGCACACCGGCGGGTAATCGCATAATTTATATTTGTATATACAGTCACTTTACAACGCGCACTTTGTTACACAGTGTAGCTCGGTTACTTTAGGTCAGCGAACGCCAAGTGATCTCGGTAAAGACGATATCAAAGTAAAAAAAAAAGACTAATCAAAGAGGGGGCGCGCCCTGTGCGTGCCGCGTGTATCTCTCGCGCGAAGAAGATGGGCGACGACGACGACGACGACGACGACGACGACAACGACGGCGACGACGACGCTGAAGGGAATTATTTTAATGTCCGTCCACCAAGCGGAAGCTTCGACAAAAAGCCTCTTCGCAGCGTCTTACGGGACAGACAGACAGACAGACAGACGGACAGACAGACAGACCGAGGCCCGCCGCGCGTGTCTCTCGTCGCCGCGCGTTCGCTTGATAAACGAGCTCGGCCGCACTCGCGAGCTTCGCGATTTCCTCCCGAGTTTTTCATCCCGAGTGCGTCGGGTGTCATCGGTGCCCGATAAGATACTCTCGGGGAGTTCGAGTCGATCAAGTGCGATCGGTAAGTACACCGCGAGTCCAAGCGTATTACTTTGTGACCGAGGCTCTTTCCGTACCTTCCTCGTCCTCGCCAGGATTTGAACGCGTTTAACACGTTTCACTCTGTGTTACAGAGCTTGAATCCGCTCGGTCGGTCGCAAGTGTCGCATTTGATGGACGAATCTTCTTACTTCGTCGCATTTTGCAAGGATTTTCAACGTGCATCTTCTTGTTACGATGAAGAGATTCGCGCGTTTTTTACGCGTTCGATACGATCGCAACGACGGCAAATTCCAAATCTCGATCGACCAGGATGCGTTTACATGTTATGAAAGTAACACGCCGGGAATCGCAGTGACGTATACATTACTGGGGGGAGGGGGGGGGCCCGGGCAAATTCGAGCCCGGCTGCTGCTTTGAACGACGCGTGACAAGCGGCGAGAAGACGGCGGCGGGCCGCAACTTTGAAACGCGGTTTCAAAAGGCAGCAAGGTCCATACAGCAATCGATGACGCGCGAGTATCTCGCTCGTCAAGGCGCTCTTTCCGAGAAGAAACATCGACCGTAGGATCTCTATTATTGGCAGTAGCGTTAGTCATATATTGCGACGGAAGCCAACGTCTCCCTTCCACCCTTATTCGCGTGGCTCCTGCGACTCGCTCGGAGTAGTTTCGTGCTCGTTTAACCTTCTGAGTGGCGGAAATGTAATATTGCGTTCACAAAAAACGGCTAAATCTGGCAAAATTGCATTTGATATTTCTGTAAGATTATTGAATATTTCTAAAATTGGATATTTAAAGCTTTTTGGGTCGCTTTATTGATGTCCGGTGATGAGCTTCCGAATTGATTTAAAGTTCAAGTTGACGGATGTCGCGATCTAAAATTGGAGAAAATTTTATTTCAAATTGGCTTTCAGGTCGTTCTTTTCAATGGTGAATTTTAAAACTATAAATTCAAAATGGTGAGCCTACAAACTAATATAGATAATTAAAGCATAATATATTATCTATATATTATATATAACTTATCTTTATAAATTATATTTATTTGTTTTATTCCGGTATTTTGTTACTTTATAGATTTTAGGTAAGAACTTTTTTGTATTTTCAGTATTTAACTTTTTTTTCATGACAGATGTCCGGATACATTTTGATGAAATAAAATTATAACTTTAGTCGCCACAATGGGCGACTCACATTTGAAATTTTGATTTTGTATTCACAAACCCCCAATAAAAATCTTTAATGATATTGCTTAACTTTCACAAATCCATTTTTTGCCAGTTTAATCAGTTTTACGGAATTCAGTTTGCCAGTCAAAAGGTTAACGAGCCACAATATATAGGAACGAACGCCGATGTGGTCGCGAATGTTTCTTGTTGTGCGCAAACTTATCGTGCTGCTGCACAGTCAGATGATCGGAGCTTGCGATTTCTCCACCTCGGTACAGGATGTATCCAACAGGAAAATTTTTTTGCTTTTCAGTCGACTTGCAGAAGATATGTTCTCCTGTTGGAATACGTTGCGAAACTCATCGAGCTTGAAGTGTTGCAAGCTTTCATCAGCTGACTGCACATACTTAAACTAAAGGAAAACCGAAAGGCTTTGAGAAAAGTGCAATAGAAGCTTAATAGAAGATAAAAATATTCTCAGAATTTCTCGAGGAGAAATTCCACTCGAAGCAGAGGCGGAAATTACCGAAATCGTGAGAATGAAGGTTTAACTTGAACTTAGGACTTTTAATTCATACTTTCAACAAGTTAAGTAATATATTAATTAAATAAACGGTTAGAGAGTAAATTCCATTCTGCAAAGATAAAATTCGTTCCTCAATTTCGAATGAAAATGTTTATTCGACGACTGAAGAATTTACTTTATAGTGAATTCGAGTGCAGAGCTACACCAATTTAAATGACTCTACTTTTACAGTGGAATTTCACTCGGAGAAATTTAAGGAGTTAAGAATAGTCAAGAAATGCTTTCAAGTGTCTCGAAAATATTGCCAAATATCGAAGATAAAACGAAAGAAATAAAATAAGAGAGAAATAAAAATAATACACTGAAAAGTAATAATAATCTACAAATATCAATCGATTTTGGATGTTTTCAATTCGCGAAACAATTCGCACGATCGAGTCTCGAGGAGCGCAAATATACTTCCTCGTCGTCTCTTCACTTCTGTCACTTCCATTTTCGGGTTAATGAGCGACAATCGCGATAGAACAAAAGTGCGTTCTACGTAAAACCGCTTCTTCTTCTTTCCTTCTCTCTTTCATTCTCATTCTCACTCTCACTCTCATTCTCATACACTCTCTCTCTCTCTCTCTCTTTCATTCATTTTTCTGTGTCGGTCTCTCTTGCCCTCGCTCGCGGGGAGGGGGGGGGCAACGTTACGTATTGCATTCTTGTCGCAAAGTGCATTCGTCGATATGTCAACCACAAGATAAAACACGGGGAGGATAAAAGACCTTCCAAAAGACAAAAAGTCGCGTGTCGAAAAAGGGGGAGGATATGTATGCGAAGATTGCGCGCGATTGGCATTCGCGTCTGTTCGCGGATATGGCTTTCTTGGACTTGCGACCGTGGTCGATCCGATATGTCGCGCGGTGGCTTCAGCCGCAACCGGCGGTAAATGTCGCGGGGGGTGTCGATACGTGCACAAATCAACGAGGCTTGATTCACACTATCAGGGACGGATTAGTAGATTGGATCGAGGTGTTGAGAGAGATACTTTGGCCAGGCTGCTTTCGTGCGCAACGTAATCACACAGAGAAAACGATTTCACTCGCGGAGAAGACGAAGAGGGTCGATCGAATTCACGCGACGCCGCGCTCGAGGCGTATTCGTTGAGGCAGACGGAACTTCCGGCTCCTGCAGCGTGAAATCGAAGCTGGAAATTTTGCTTCTGATTCACATCGGGAGATTTTGGTTCTCCGAATTTGGCCCGGTTGAGGCTCGGGCGAATCCTGTCTCCTCCGACCGAAACGCGTACGGTTCGTTCATCGTCGCGTCAATTCCGCCTATCTCTCTCCGCCGCGTTGCAATTTGATAATCCTACGCTATTACTTGCCTATGCTATTAATCTATTACCTTCAATTATAACTAACTCTCTACTTTCGGATCAAGCATCAACGCATCGGCCAGTTACTTCGCGCGTGTGTGTTGCTCGGCACGCAACATAGTGAACAATTTATACCCTTCTTTCGTTTGTCACACGAGACGTCGTTGCTAGCACGAGTCCCGTCGTGAGCTAGCTGTACAGGGTGATCCAAAACTGTCGTGCGGTATTCAAACAACGCGTACGGGAGCTCAATTGGAACCGAAAGTCCGAAACGTGTGAAGTAAGTGACACAAACAAGGAGCCGACAACTGATGAATTTGCGATCCAAACGAGTCGTCGTTCCGACGAGTCGGACGTTCCAGCGAACGGCTCGAGTCGGGAGAGATCGGAACGAGGCATGCGTCGCATGCTGCCTGAAATTTCCTGAAGCGTCAATGAGCCCGTAGTTGAATCAAGCCTTTCCCATACATTGTCCCCGGAGATATTGTTAACGAACAATTTACAAACGGCGACCGATCCGATCGGTCGGTCGATCGTTCGTTCGCCGTCTTATGCTCCTCCTTGCGGGAGCGAGCTTCGTCGTTGTTTCCGTTATATCCTGCGTAACTATTGTAAACATTTGTCAATAATCGCGAGGTGCATCGCCACGTGGAAAAATTGGTGTGGGCTTAACATGCGTGTCTTAGACCGACTTGCGGTAAGACCGGTTGCCAACGACGCGACTTTGTCGTTCCTGAGGATTCCCGGTGTCGCGGAAGAGCGAGAGACTAAAGAGAAAGAGAGAGAGAGAGAGAGAGAGAGAGAGAGAGAGAGAGAGGGAGAATATCATGCAATTCTTTCGTCTCTTTCTAATAACGCGATTTTAACGCATGCACGACCGACTCCGATTCGCTCCGCGTCTGCTGGAGATTCCATCGCGCTTCCGTTTCCTCCCGCTTCCGTTATCTCTCTCTCTCTCTCTCTCTCTCTCTCTCTCTCTCTCTCTCTCTCTCTCTCTCTCTCTCTCTCTCTCTCTCTCAGGCGACTTCAACGTCGAACCGACGAACGATCGATTCTCGCGACAAACGCGCGCCAATCATCCCTCGTGAAATTCGCCGCGCGTGTTCTTGCTCGTTCACGGCACGCTCCTCTCCTCGGACTGGCGCGGCACGTTGGCAACCGCGAGTAATAACGTTACATGATGCTCGCAGCGGTCACGCGACTGCAACTGGCAAGCAAAGTGGATTACGGTGTATCTCGTGAAACGTAGAAAACAGCGAAATTCGACGGCGTCTCTCAACGTAACGCGTTGTCGAGGGCATTTTCCGGGCGCGGTGGAAATGCGCGTCGCGCTCGGACGTGCCGGCTGCCGTCACGCGTGTTTCTCTCTTCCTCTCCCTCTTCCGCGCTCTCGATGGAGGCCCTTCGCGCGCGCGGCTCGCGCGGTGCGATCTTATTTCCGATATTTACGTGACCGGAAGGGAGCGTGTTTCCGCCGCCGGTAATCACGTAAACATCCGCGAGCGCCGAGAGCGCTTCCAACCTCCGCCATTTGGAAATCGCTTCTCGCGCCGCGGAATGCAATCGCGTCTTCGAGAGTTTGCGCGGGCGACAAACGAAGTGAGAGAGGAGAAAAGGGAGTGTGTCGGAGTCCCGAACGTGCATTGTTTTTACCGTGAATTCTCGGCGCGAGTGCAAGCGCGTGTTCCCTTTTCTTTCTCTCTCTCTCTCTCTCTCTCTCTCTCTCTCTCTCTCTCTCTCTCTCTCTCTCTCTCGTTTGCCTTGCCGTGTCTTCCCTTCGCTGGGCCGCGGCAGGTGTTACGGAACTATACGGAAAAGCTTTCCTGTCGGAATCGTTCCGTCATTTCTTAGATTTCTATCGCGCTTTCTACGTGAAACGGAATGATTCCAAGCAAGAGGGAAAAGCTTTCCGGGAGCACTTTCATAATATCTGTCCGCAGAGCGAGAGGATGGGAATGCTCGACGTTCTCGAAATGATCAACAATAGTTGCGTACAAGGTAACAATGAATTCACGTAACTTAGGCGTTTAACTATTTCTCCGTCCGAGGGGAAGAACACGTTCATATTTTCTCGACGAGTGTGTGTATGGTATGTGTGTGTACGTGTGCGTGTGTGTGTGTGTGTGTATGTGTGTGTATGTGTGTGTATGTGTGTGTGTGTGTGTGTATATGTCTATATATATATATATATATTTATATTTATATTCATATTTATATTTATACGTGTGCATATAATGCGCTCTCTCGAGTCGCGCGAAAAATAAATCGATGCGCACGCGAGCATCGTTCGAAGGCTAATCCGTGAAGTGTTTTACGATAATTAGGTCGTTACGATGATCCTTAGGTCCGGTGTTACACTCTAAAACGGCAATTTAATTCGTCATTTAGCAGTGCCGTGACACTATTTACAGATCATTCGCGCGGCACATCTCCCGCACACATACGTACACACACACATGCACACGCGCGCGTACACATACACACACATGAACATGCATATTTGCTCTCACTCTTTCTCACGTCGCTCATGCACACGTCTCGTCGTTGCGCGTCCAATTACGCGGATGCAAGCGGTACGTCTAACTTCTCGGGGTCGGCCGGTTGCACCGACCGACCCCGGTCGCACTGTTCCCGAAGAACCGAGTCACGCGAGAACCGAGTCTAAGGTGACGAGTCTAAGGTACTCGCACGCACGTTCATGGCTGGCTGCTCGGACGACGAATTAATCCGCGATTACCGTTCGACTTCGTGTTCGGTTATGTACTCGAGATCCTTCGGCTACGAGAGGGCTCATCATCCGGAAATAATGTCCGATATTAAGAGAGCAACAACGACTCGAGTCTACGCGACTAGGAAAGTCCACTGTGAAAGCCCACGGAGAGTTCCTCGCGCATCATCATCAGCTAACGATACGCTCGAAAATGACGATCTCTCCCGGCTGACTCCAGCCGCTTCCGCGACCTCGGCGCTTTTAGACGTCGGTTCCCGTGCGAGCCCCTCGGCATTGCGGTTATAGTGGATCCTGCTGTAACACAAGCGTGCACAGGCGTTAACTCTCGAAGGCAGCCCACTCGCGTTCAAACCCGGCCGTCGGGGTCTGTAAAAAAGATCAGTGGATTCCGTTTCCGAATGACGTCTCTCTCCGCGGTTCCTCAGCTGAAAGACACCCGTTGGATTCTCAAAGTCGGAGACGATCTGTCGGCCGACTCGTGTATCCAATTAATTACAGTCGTGTATAATTGAGGCTTCTTATCTATAAATTACATCGCAGATTCAATCATATTAATTATATAATCGCTGAATTTCGACCTGTCGATCTGAGACAGTGAACGGACGAAATTAATACCGACCGCACGGCGCTTCATTGCCCGCCTACAAGCTCGGAGAAAGCGTTGAGTGAAATGTCGATCGGGTAGAAAATGCTTGATCGCTCGGTGAATTACACGGACGAACGTCCGGTCCTCCGGCAGATCCAGGAACGATCGCTCGAGTTCGCTCGAGGAGAACGAGACGATTTACCGCGACGGCCGTGATGACGTAACTTTCCTATGGGTCTCCATAACTCGCGAGATTTGAACGCTCACGGACCGCGCTCGCGCCGGCTGTTCTTATATAATGCGTCTACCTATACGTGAAATTTAAACCCCGGTTGCCGCGTCCATCGAATGGAATGTTTGCGTGTCGTGTGAATACAAGTGTATATATAATATATATATATATATATATTTATTTATTTATTCATTTATTTATTCATTCATTTATTTATTTATTTATTTATTTATATTTACTTATTCTCTTGCTCGTTTTTATCTTTATTATTTTTTTCCTTCGTAAAAAGCCTCCCTACCTAAAAACAACGCGTCGCGTGGGTGAGTTCGTCTCTACTATACTGGCGATAAATCAACAAGTCCTTTAAAATACATTCCTCTATTTTGGAAAAATCCACGGTCATTAAATCTCTCTACCGAACACTCAAACATAACACCGATTTATCTTTTTTGTTCATTTTTTTTGTTCTTTTCTCTCTTTTCTGCTCCTTTCCTGCTCTCGCCTCTCTCGTCGCCGTATGGTGCTTTTATTCCGCCCGCCCGCCCGCCCGCCCGCCTGCCGGCCCGCCCGTCCGCGTCTCTTATAAGTCAGTCTTGGCATCGTAAACGCTTATTAGGTGCTTCGGGTTACAACTTACAGAGTAGACTCTCTAATAACGAGGGCTCTCCTGCGAAGGGGAGAGAAGAGGACCCCGTGACACGTGTCTTTATCTCCCTCGTACTAAGTACGCGCTGTTCGCGCGTGTTCGCCACACGCGCGCGCACACACACACACGCACGCACGCACGCACGCACACGTATACAGATAAGTTCACACATACATATCCATATGTATACCTTAAACCTCACCGCCTTAAAAATATATTATTGTCTTTCGATGAAACATAGTGTAGCACTTGTGACTCGCCGCTCCTCCTCTCCGTCCATCGCCATCCCTTCGCTCCGGGACGATCGATCTCTCTTGGTGTTTCCTTCTTCATCCCTCCCTCCTTCAGCCTCCTCTCGTCGATTGCACGCAGACGATGACGCGAAGCGAGCGAGCTCGAGCCTCGATCGATCATCGTGCGATCCTTCCTCCCGCGTTCGAATCTTGAGCCGAGCTGGCGTGACATCGCGATCGAGCACTGCTACTCCTTGTTCCTTATCCTGCCTGGGATTATTGGATGGCCCTGTGAGAACGCTGGTGCGCGTGAGGCGCACTCGACGTAAATGCGCGTGCCGGTTGCGGCGTCTGTGCGTCTTCCGCATGACGACGACGACGACGACGGCGACAGAGAGTTTTCGCGGGTTTTGCGATTCTGGATTCCGGTGTGTGTGAACGTCGAGATGTGCGATATTCCAAACGTGGGACATTCCTTCCACCTCTCATCCTACCCTCCCCGTTCCCATTCGCGGACTTCCGCCGCGGTAAACGCGGCTATGCTCGCGCGGCTGGGTTCATTTGTGTCCTCGTAGTGTCAGAGCCTGTCGTACTCGGAGCTTCGTCGTGGAACGCTGCATCTCGGCCGCGGAGAATCCTGCTCTTGGTCCTGTTCATTCGGTGAGCCCTGGCGAAGAGCGAGTGAGAGGGAGAGAGGGATAGATAGATAGATAGATAGATAGAGAAAGAGAGAAAGAGAGAATGGAGAAGTTCCGTCCGGATTTGCGGGCCTGGTTCTGCGTGCCTCAGTCGAAGATATTCGCAGGAAGTCCTCTTCTCGTCTCGTCCGGCTCACGACGGACGCGATATGAGACTTTCGAGGTGTGAGACTGCTCAGCATTGCCTGAACCATCTCCGATCAGGCGTTCCCGCCTCCCCAGGAGTGCAGCGACCGGGATTGGTCACTTCTCCTCGCATCTCACCTTGATCCAGGGATCGTCAGTGCGTTGCTCGATCGACTCTTCGAACACGCGATTCTTCGGCACTTGGTCTCGACGGTGCGCGTCACGTCGCGTTGACAGTCCGTCTCGACACGCAGTAGAGGCGTTCACCAGGTCGGCGGCGATGGCGACGACGACGGTCACCGGGTTCGTGCGTTTCGTTGTTGCGCTCGGCGCACCGTTCGACGACGATCGTCGACCTTGGTCCGACGCGAGCGAGCGTGGAAGTTCGCGCGTTAACTCGTCGCCGACGACGAACTGGTCGTCGTCAGGCCGACGGGGTCTTCTGACGTCGACGTCGCGTTGGCGACCATCGTCGGGCTCGGGGTTCGTTATCATACGTCGTTGTCGTGGCAGAACTCGATCTTCCGTCTGGCCAGCTGCAGTCGTCGCTTGTCGACGATGAAGTCGGTGACGCAGCCTTTGATGCCACGGTGGCCCGGCTTGCCGCCGACGAACAGCTTGCCGTTGGTCGTCAGCAACGTCGTCTCCGTCGCGACCTTCACCGGCGCGTACTCGTCGATCTGCACCGTCAACGCCTTCCGTCGTCGGGACGCGCGAATGTGGTGGAAGACCCCGTCGTCCACTCTTTCCTGCAAAGACGTTCATCACGGTGGTGAGAAGAATCGCCGGTTACCTCGTAGAGATTTCATCGTTTTGTTTTCGGATTGCAAACTCCATGAGCTTTCATCATTTAAAAACTATTGCATATTTTAGGAAACAGCAGCTCCATATATCGCTGCGTAAGTGTACATTGATGAAAAAGATATTAAAAAAGCAAAAAAATTGTTTATTTAGTGAGTACTAATAATGTATGTACTTGCACTATAATAATATACATTTTTTTACAGGGAGGGAAATTGTGTTCGTGGAAAATGTGCATTTTTAACATTCACAGCTTAATTAGCGTAACAGCAACCTTGATTGCTTTTCATAGAAACATTCGTTTTACAGCGAGAAAAGAATGTAGGTTCAAGTAAATATGTTATGAGCGCCCGAGAAGAGATATTTTTTATTTCTCAGATATCTTTTCTCTCGGTGCACAAGATGAATTCGAAATATGAAGATATCGTGCCGACTATACAGGGTATATAAAAAGTACCGGGACAGCGAAATATCTCTGAAAATATTAGGCAAATAAAAAAATATTTCAGGGCAAAAGTTGTCCAAATTAATTGGTAGAAAAAGATGATGCAATAAAAAATTGGGCTTTCCATTTAAGAAAAGTACATAATGATACAGTTGTTTTATGTCCCTCTTGAAACCATACAACTTTGGTCTGAAACATTCCTTTCTAAGATGCTTAGTTTTCGAGGTATTTCGAGGTCGTTCCGATACTTTTTATACATCCTGTATATGAGCGCTGATGAGAAACGACACGTTTCGTCCGTCTCTGCCGTTCTATAGAAACTCTCAACTTACCCTGCTCGTCACCAATATTTGCTCCTCAGTCTTGCTCTTGTAAGTGAGCACCACGTGGCCTCTGTGCAGAGACAAGATGAGGTGCTCGATCTTCCCTCGGCCCACCCAGGCGATCAGCCCCTCAGAATGTATAGTCCTCAGTCTTAGCTCGAACTTGTTCGACTGTTGTCCCCTGCGTCTGAAGAAAAGCGTGTTCGTAATAACGACGTTGGTCGTCAGAAAGGCTCAAACGCCAAACTCATGCCAACAATATGCACTACAGATCGAGCAGTCCTCTACGTCGAGCTGCACTTAGACGGCGGGAAATTAACAATTGAAACTATGTAAAAAAAATAAAAGAAGGTCAAAGAAAGAGGTGAAAGAAGGAGGCTCGGACGAATTCGTTGTGACAAAAGCATTTCTGATGAGCTGGCAAACTTCTCGGTGGACTCGCTATTCTATTTATTTACATATAGTCGGCTATCTGAATCAGCAATCTTTGTGCATCGGAGCGAAGAACATATTCGATCGTGACGCTATCAAAGCAGTGTCTCCAATTCCCATGCACTAATCTAATTGTCATGATTAATATTAACCAACGGCTGCTAGCAACAATCGGCTACCATATCGTTGATACGAGTCGAAACGGCAAGTGGATGAGAAAGACACGTTGCGCTTTGAGATAAATCCTCGTAATTTCTTTTTCCCGTTCGATTGTTTCATTGCTCCATTGTAGTTTACCTTTTTACGTTCATTCGCGCGCAATTTAATCTCACGCTCTCGATTTATATCGCTCGCTACATAGCTCCGTTGTTACACATAGAGAGAGAGAGAGAGAGAGAGAGCCGATATAAATATATATTTTTTAATTATTAATTTTTTTATAGCTCCTTCTAATTGATAATCTTCTAAATAATCAAATCTTTCAAGTCGTGCGAAAGCAAAGAACGGTGAAATCGCGGTAAGAGCGGCTCCCAATAGAAGAAAGTGCTGTCGACGCGCGAGAGATACTTTTTCACGCGTCCTTTTCGCCAACGTATCACCTTTATTCCCTCCTTGCCGCTTCCCTCCATTACTCCAGCAGTCCTCCCAGCGGTTCTCACCCTGTCGAGTTACAAGAATCCGCCCGTCTAATTGTGTCTTTAGCCCCGCGACGCTACGCGATCTACGTCAATCTACGTTCCTTATTACGCTCAAACGAAAGCTCCCTGGCTCCTCCTTCGTCGGCGGGTGTGGGTGTTGCCACGGGGACGCGATTATCGGGCTCGACGACACACGTTACACCAGATACGCGAAGGAAAGGAAAGTCTACGTTCCCTCAAACGAGTACACAGCCACAGGCATTCGCCGTGAAGGGAAACTTACTCCATGTAATCGTAACTGTCGTACTCGTAGTCGACGTCCTCCTCCAAGTCGTAGTCGGAGTAGGACTCCTCAAAGTACTCGCCGAGGGTAGTAGTGGTGGTAGTGATGGTAGTGTTAGTCGAGTTAGTACTAGTTGGTGTTACACAATCAGAAGGTTAGTGATATTAGTCGTTAGTCAGGGGCGCTAATTAGTAGTAGTAGTAGTAGTAGTAGTAGTAGTAGTAATAGTCTACTCTCGGTTTCTCGCGCTGGCGTCGGCCGACGTACTAATTGCAAGTGCACCTAATCGAACATCATCCTAGAGGATGTGCCGTTGCGTTGCTAAAGTTGCTAAAGACCGTCGATGCCGCGCACGTGCGTCCTACGCCCGCTTTACTCACCTTCTTCCGTAGCGGTGCTTGAACTGCAGGAAGTGGTCGCCGTCGAATCGTACCGGTCGCTCGGAGATCTCGGTGCCGGAAACGTCGTAGCCCATGACTGCAAGAAAAGTTAGGTTCCAGTCGGCTTATTGTTTTTGTCGCTTTTTAAATCGCTGGACACAGATTGTCCCAAAAGATCGCAATTTCAATACTAGGAAAATTTCCCTCGAAAATTCACAATACCAAAATATGAATACAGAAATAAAGCCTGAAATTCAGTTTCCAAAGTGGAAAATCTATTCCACGTGAATAGAAGAAATCACTCGAATTTTCGAGCGAGCTGACTGTCACTTTACTTTTCGAGTGGAATTACGCTCGAGGAAATTTGGACAATTTTTTAACTCTCTCGGTATATTATTTAGCTCTCTCGTCGGCATACGTGCATTATTTGATAATTTTTTACGCAATTACGTCGTACGCAATAATGTCGGGTTATATTATTAACGAGCGCAGAAATGTATTTCTTTTCTTCCGTAAAATATTCGACAAATAATTATAATTTTTCGTCAAATTTTTGTCTTCTTTTCTTGAAAATTTAGCTGCTTACTTGCTGCGCGCGAGTGTTTCAAACAAATTCGCCGTTATCGTAAGTGGACTCGATGGCGCGCGCAAGGAGACGCGCGAATAAAGTTCGTATCGTGAAGAAAGATCGCGAAACCGAGAAGAAAACTTACAGAATTCACAGTGCAAGCCGTTGTAACCGCTGGCGCACTTGCAGAGGTAACTGTTCAGAAGTGGAAGGCAGACCCCGCCGTTGTGGCAAGGGTTCTCGTTGCTGGGGCACGGTAGACCGTCGTAAATCTCCGTGTTGTGTTGAGTAACATTCACCGCGAGATTCTGATATGTTTTGCCGTTTACCATTAGTCTCTGCACGGCGCCTACCAATCCGGTCCACGCCCCGGCCAGCCGGTGTACTTCTCGCCAGTGTCTAAGAAATCGAACCATCGTGATTATTATTTACCGCCCTCGCACGCTGGATTAGTGTGAGTTTACTTTTTAGGCTATTGAACAGATTCATGTTTTATATTACATTGTTATATTTATTATGATATATCTTTGAGAAAAGAGTGAGAAAACCTTTGTTGATGTCTAATTAATAACGTTTTGTCGATTAATATATATTTCTGTAATTATATGTGTACTGACTTATATAATATTTATAATAATATTATATATATATTTTTTTCTTATATTATATATATTTACAATAAGTAAAAAAATATTTATAAGAGAAGAATGATATAAGATGTCTAATTAACAACGTTTTATCCGATTAAGATATATTTCTGTAATTATGTACGTATTGATTTATATAATATTTATAATAATATTATATATTTTTTTTATATTTTATATATATATATATATATATTTATGATAGATAAAAAAACGTCAAACATGAATAAGAGAAAGATGACACGAGGGAAGAAACGAGATGATTCAAATAATAAAAATACATGATAATTTAACGGGAGCAACTTACTTGACACCACCGACATAAAGCGGCATTTCCAGATTCAGTTCAGTGAGAGGACTTCCGGACAGTCCTCTGGCGACGGTGCCGTCGTCAAGTTGGAGGACACCTTCTCTGCCAAGTCTGCTGATTCTCACGCAGTGCCAGGTGTCCAGGCTGACCGGGTCGGGCGATGTAATGTTCGCGATGCCGCTGCCGAGATTGAATCTAAACTCCAGCCTGCCGTGGACCAAGTTCAGACTGATGAAGTCGCCCTTGGCGTTGTTCAGCTGGCCGTTGTAGAGCAAGAGCCCGTCGCTCGCGTGGGTGAGGAACCAGAGTTCGATGGAGAACGCTTTAGCGACGCCTTCCAAGCAGGGCAGCTCCAGAAATCCGTTGCCCGACATCTCGGGGATCAGCAGCTCCGTCAACTCGGCGTCCACTGCAGAAATGACGATTTAATGCTATTTAAGATGTGCGCGTTCGGTATTCTTCAACGAGTTGACCAAGTTTCAAAGCCAAATACTCGATTGTTTCGCAAAAATTTCTATTTTCCAGCGAGGACTTTTTATATCAACTCTTTAGGATGGAGAAATTTACTTAAGCACACCGAAAATATTTAGTTCGTCTAAAGCGGGGTCTACAATAGAAGTCGTAAGAAAATTGACCAGTCAATTATTCTCCTTGCTGTCGGAGAATAATTGTCATTGGACAATTTTCTTTTACGACTTAGGATTTTACGACTTTTATTGCAGACTCCGCTTAAGATATAGGAATAAAAATAAGAAAAAAAAGGAACGTTTTATGTTCGACTTTTGCGGTGGAACAATTTAACGGAATCCTCCGAATGCGTTTAAATTCTAAGATATAAGAGCAAGAACACAGAGATAGAACAAGAAAAGAAAAGAGAGGAACATTTTTTTCAATAAAGAAAAATTTATCTGGATCTTCCGAATAATTACCTGACTTAATTATAATTAAAAATCACACAGAGACGACCTTTAATAATATAAGTTTCGTCTAATTTTCAAGATACAAGAATAGGAAAAAGAGAAACCCCCGTTTCACGATCGATATACATATACACAGCCTGTCCCAGATACGATGAGACTGGTTCCATCAAAGTTCTTAGCGCAGCGATATCTATGAGTGAATGATGGTAGGTGAATGTTCTACCCTTCATCTACTTAACAACTCAAAATTTGAGCGAATTCGGTTGATATTTCACTGTGGTTTGACATTTTATGTAAAGTCACTTTGTGTACGTCGGTCGAAAAACCAACATGGAACATGTTTTAAATTGGGTAAAAGTGGTGCAGAAACATACGAAACGCTAAAAAATGTGTACGGGGATGAATGCATGTCCCGTGCGCAGGTTTTCCGTTGGTTTGGCCGATTCCGTGACGGTCGTGAGGACCTTGCAGACGATGACCGAGCACCGCCGCCAAAAACCACTCGCAATGAAGAAAACATCGAGAAAGTCAAAGAAATTCTTCGAAGCGACCGCTGTATGTCTGCGAGACTTATCGAAGAGGAAACTGGGATACCGAAAAGCACAGTCTATCGAATTTTGACCGAAGATTTGGGCAAACGGAAGGTTGCACGATAATGCACCATCGCACAAAGCCATCATGGTACGTGAATTCTTGACCAAAAAAGGCATCATTGTTATCGATCATCCACCGTATTCACCTGATTTGGCTTCGTGCGACTTCTGGCTATTTCCCAAACTGAAATTGCCGATGTCAAGGAAATCGTTTCGATTCCATCCCGGTCATTCAAAAGACTTCGACCGCCATACTAAACCGCCATTCCAGCCGATGAGTATAAAAAATGTTTCGAAAAATTTGTTGAACGTTTCCAGCGCTGTATTGACTCAGAAGGAGACTATTTTGAATAAACAAGAATAAAAAATCAAAATAATAAACGCTTTGTATTTTTTTTAGACCAGTCTCATTGGATCTGGGACAGACTGTGTATGTCTCAAACTCAAGAACAATTCATTCAAGCCGGCGATATCCAGTTTCCAAGATTAGCCGCCTGAAGGCTACTCGGTGGAGAGAGTTTCAAACGTGGCACTTGGGTGCCACGACAAAGGCGCCGTCCTTCGTACTTACGGATCTCACAGTGCTCGCCGGTCCTACCGGGCGGGCACTTGCACACGTAGCCTCCCTGCGGCAAGATGTCGCAGGTGGCACCGTGCTGACAGGGCTCGTCGATGCACGGGTCCAGCGACTCCTCGCAGTTGCGGCCGGTGAACTGCGGCGGGCAAATGCACCTGTAATCCGGCGGCTCGTACTTCTCCACCGCATAGTTGCCGTGCTCATAATTGTTCTCGTACATGAACTCGTAATCGTAGTCGCACTTGTTAGTGGTGCAGCGCTTCCTCGCGCTCCTCTTGGGTCCTTTCCCTGGGTCGACCGAGGTGCAATGATTGCCCCTGCACCTGACGATGTTCACCCCGCCTTTGCCGCCGATACCGTTACCGCCCTTATTCCTGCCCCTGCCCCTCTTCTGCAACCTCCTGCACTCTCGACCGTTGCAGAGGTCCTCCTCGAAAATCGGCTGGCACGTCGCGCCGTTCTGACAGGGCAGGTTGGCACACGCGTTGTCGCCGCATTCCTTCACGCGGTAACTCTCGAGCACGTCCTTGTCGCGACCCATGTGGAGGTCCACGTGGATCCGGTTGATCTTCAGCTTGCGTATGCAGCCGAGCAGCCCGTGGTTGGTGCCGATGTTGTCGTACACTCTGTTGAGAAATTCGTCATCTCGTTGGTGTCTCCAGCTTGGAGTCGTTAATTTTGACTTTCGATGCTTGAGGAATTTACTTTCTCCGCTTCGCGTTGGCGTTTATTGTATTTAAAATACGTTGGATGTACAGAGGGTTAAAAAAAAATTCAGAAAATTCATTGTTACTACGGAGAAACACCCAACATCTAGAAACCGTCTAAATAATTAATTAACGATTGTGATGACACTTTCAGCGAGTGATGAAGATTAATTTTACATTTCTCGAGTATAGGGGATAAAAGGTTAATCAATATGTTTAATTTAATCACGATTAAATTATAATTATTTGATTTAATTAAACGTCGAATAGAACGATGATGAGCTTTGAATAATATAACGTTTGCGAAAATATTACTTGGTATAATTGCTCGGCATGTTCCCGACGAAGGTGTCTTGATTCAGATCCAGTGATTTCAGCATCCCCTGACTCTGTCCGGCCACGTCCTCGCCGTCGTTGAAGATCAGCACTCCGTCTTTGTGGTATCTCTTGGCGGCCACACGATGGAAGGTCTTCATGGTTACCTTCTCCGGCGACGCGAGTATTACGGGTCCGTTTCCCAAGTTGTATCTGAACTGAACGTATCTGAAGCACGAGATCAACGATCAGTTTTCTCGCGCGAATACATCTATTCGCCGAATTCGATCGGTAACGAGAAGTACAATTACGTTCTCTATTTATTATTTAGGTACGTATTTATTTATTCATTCATACGCGATGTTACCTTTCCGATGCAATAAATAAAACAATAGGAAATAATAATTATTGTACAAAGAAATATTAAGAAATATTAAGAAGAGCTGCGCTATAATAAAAAGGTTAATTAAAATGCTTAATAACGATCCGATTAAAAAGGATTGTTAATAATAATAATTATATAAAAGTTCCTATGTATATAACTAAATATATACATAAATTATATATAATTATATATGACTCATATATGAATTTTATATAATCGGGTATATAATTATATAAAATTATATATATCCACAAATCTAAAGAAACGTTATTAAATAAACAGGAAAAAAATATATGATCGGATGAACTTATTTTCTGGTGGGAAATGTGGACGATTTAGAACTTTCAATTCAAAATACTTCAAATACAAAATAGAAATCTTCAAGTTAACCAGAAATTTTTATAATTTACACTGAATTCCGATAATTTCAAACGGAATTTCTTTATCGCTCGCATTTCACCAGAAAATTGTTTCATTAAACCAAACATTTTTCTTTTCTTTTTTTCTTTCAAAAGAGAAAATTGGTTTCCTTCGATTATATATCTATATTGCGGAATGCACGTAACAAGCAATTATTTGAATTGTAGTAGTTTTCCTTGTGTATATACAGAGGATCTTTTGGAAACCAAAAATTGCGAAGATTAATCAGACCAAACTGAGAAGAAAAGTCAAATACCAGATTCTGCAGATAAGTACGCAAATTTCCAAGTTATCAATTAAAAAATATAGATGTGGTCATTTTCAGTCATTAATAATTTAATAACTATTGCGATTTTTGCAGAATGTTACATGAATGTTCTTCTCAGTTTGATCTGATTAATCTTCGCAATTTTTCATTTCCAAAAGATCTCGAACACCTTATACAATAATTTCATACAGTACGGCCATATAGAGAGAAAATCCACGATATAATCATATACCGTAATAATAATTTTTGTCCGAGAGTCGACATTAACGATAAGTTAAAGAAACGAACGATTAATAGCGAGAGGACATTAGCGCGAGTAGTCACGCACAGTGCTACTGAATTTCTATATCATCAAGGCACAGACCGCTAACTCGAGATCTCCACGAGGCTCTCGCTCAAGCGACCGAGGAACGATCTCGAGATGCTCGTGCTGAGAGAATCTCCGTGCTAATGCGAAATGTCGATTGGTCCGTCGTTAATCAGCCAGTAGGCCGGCACCGGAGCAATTTACACAAAGCGACGGAGAAATTAGATCGCGTAGTCAACAACGGAAATAATCAGGCGAATCGAGTTACCGCTCGTCTTGAATCGCAGCGCGATTGTCAGTCTCTCTCTCTCTCTCTCTCTCTCTCTCTCTCTCTCGGCCTCTCGCTCAAAGGGCGCATTTCGCGCGAGGGCGAAAGATCAGCGTGCTAGCTAGCGCTTTCACAGGAGATACTAACCCGTCGACAATAGCCAGCGAAACAAAGTCGCCGGTGCCGTCGTTCTTCTGCTGATTGTACAGTATGATGCCGTTGTCCGCGTACGTTTTGAACTCGACCTCGATGCTGAATTTGTGATACGCTTTCAGCCGGTTCATCCGTACGTAGCTTTTGCCGTCAAAGGAGGGCACCTCGTAATCCCTTTTGTTGATCTCCTCGTCGCACAGCAGCCCGGTGTAATTTGGCCGGCACACGCAGACGAAAGTCGCGCTGGGCAGGTCGATGCACGTGGAGGTCATGTGACACGGGTACGAGAGGCACGCGCGAAATTCCTCGGTCGGCGTCACCGGCACGTAATTGGCTTCGACAGAAAGTTCATTTTCTTTCAATTACCCGACCCGACGCGGGCTGCACGCGGCGGCCACGCGAACGTTGGCGAATTGTGGCGGCCACAACGAACGTTGGCGAATCGTGGGAGTGCAAAGTCTCTTTGAGCGGTCCTTCGTTCGGTGTCTTATTAATACCACAACGTTGTACTCGTTAATAACGGCCTAATCAATTTTGCGTAGATCTGTTTTGCGTAGATCGCTTTAACCCTTTCGAAACGCGACATCAAGACGGACGCTCGCTCGCCCGCTCGTCGTTCTGAGAAGCCGTTTTAGATGGCGATGTTAGAACTTGCAATTAAAGCGGACTAATTGTCTCGGTCGTTATTGAGAATAAGATACTTTGACAATGATTAAGAACTTGCGTCTAATTACTTGAAGACTTCGCGGTCGACTTGGGCGGTTGTACGCAAACAATGAGGGTGGAACATCGATGTGGGAGTTATCGCGCGCATTCATGCGGAACATTCAGAATTTGTGACAGAGAATGATCCTGCGTGCATTTTTCTACCGCGTATATTCTTGCGGCAACTTTTCTGGCTGAAATTTTGGTTCTATGTTAATATTGCAAATTTCTCCACTCGACTCAAAGGACTGACCGAAAATACTGCATAATCTAATAAAGATTAATAGAAATAAATGTGGGCTAATAAAGGAACACGCTTCTTTTTTTCATAATCTCCTCATTATTGCTTTTCATTGGAGTTAGAAATTTCAATAGAATTTGGAGGTTGAAAACAGGGGTGAAAGGAAAGGAGTTGTGCTTGTCGTTCGTTATCGCTGCATCCTGAGTTCTGTAATTCGTCTCATATACGTTTCCACCAGAGTAGATTAAATTCTAACTTGATTACTTAATTTCTGTGCAAAGAGTTTAAAGGTTAAAGTTTAATTGATGTTGGGCATTACAATCAGCTATTAATCGTCATTGCGACAAATTTTCAATAGAGATAAAAATATGAGACCACAAGTCGATCAGAAACCTGTAGTTAATTAACAATCGACACTTTCGATACGTATCGCGTGTGTAATCGTCATTTAAACATTTCATAATTTAATAATTTGACTATTTCAAGTAAGAAAGAAATATCTTTTGGACAAATACAAAAGTTTTGATGGATTTCATGATGGAAAAATGGACAAAGTATTTTTATGAAAAATGACTTATTCATTTTATCAGGTAATAGCCATTGTTCTCTATTATCTTCCGTCAACTTTCATCGGGTAAAATATAATAAATCGTTTTTAATAAAATTATTTCTCTCTCTCTCTCTCTCTCTCTCTCTTTGCATTTTTATATTGCAAAATCCATGGAAACTTTTGCACTCACCTAATAGAACATTTAAACGGTATTGATTGTGTCATGATTTTTTGTTTATTGAGCGTCACTGTTCGGTTGAAGAGAGAAAATGGCGCTCAGTAAATGGCGAAAGATTATCCTGCTTTTTTTCAAGCTACCAATTGCTTTGATATTCTTCTTAAATGTCATGTATTTTGCCCGTGACCGAGTAATTTATCGTATGACCGACTTATTTTTTAAGTATCGGCGCATTATTTACAATTATTTTCGTTGGCTGATTAAAATATCTGACCGGTTCCCTCGATATTCGATCGAGCGAGTCGTCGGCGTAAGTTAATTCGTACTTCTTGGATGTTTGTGCGAGCGTTAGTGATGATTTGACAGGGAAGTCAGGACGCAGGATACCAGGACGTCTCATCAGCGATATATTCCCAGGTGCGTGTGATTTTTTGTTGCACAGGGTGCTTCGATTTCGACGAACGTTTGACGAACTCATTGAAAATAAGGGAAGAATCCCGAGTCGAAATTTAGGGTCTACTCTAAGGTCGGAGTTCACAGCCGTCATTGCTTGATTAATAATTATAACCTCATGAATTTCCGATTGTTCGTTGACCTACGATGTTTATTCCATACAATGTCGATCCAAATAGCCGAATAATAGCCTATAAATACAAATCATGTTATTGATCATGCTCGCGATCGAAGATAGTAAATAATTTAGGTAACATTCTCGTTCAGGCACCTCCTCGACTTTACATATATTATTCAGAGATCAACCTCCTGAATAACAACCAAAAGATCCCAGCTGTCGTTCATCGTTTATTACAGATATGATTGACAGGAGAATTTTTATAGGTGGAACGTAATTTTTGGACACAGTATACATTTAATATGATGAACAGTACGCGCGTATGCGCAGGGCGAAGCCAATCCCCATTTCCCCAGAGTATAAACTACTCTAACTCAATCTTTTTGTACATGGTGGTAGATTGAGTTACCATATACAAAGTTACGTCGTACTCAACCTATACATTTTTATACATGGTAATCCAATCTAACACCATGTACAAAAATGTATAGGTTGGTTTAAGTTAGTTTATTTCAGGGTGAGGGTGCGGGAAAAGGGCGCAGTTTCTTCCCCCATGTACGCGCGCGGTTTGACGGTACATATTTAACAGTAACATTTTACAGCGTATTTAGCATTACGCTGTGCCGAAAAATTACGTTTCGCTTGTAAAACTTCTCTTGTTAGTCACTCTTTAATAAACAATGAGCAATGGCTGAAACCTGTTGGAGGATACTCAGGATGATCCCTATGATATATGTGAAGGATAAACTTATCGGAGGGATGCCTCCCCTAAACGGCAGTTTCACTATAATTTACAACTATGAATACCGACCTAAATTTCACAAGAGCCGTGACTTGTTTTTTTTTACAACGCTTTCAGCTATTTCCCCCCTTTTGCATATTCAGACTTGTTATTGTCTCGAATCCTGATTTAAATCCTTATCGGTGGTTACTCAATTGTCACTGTCGGCCTCACGTTCTTATTTCTTGCCTTCATCGAATCTCCAAATTCCATTAAAATTTCTACCTCCATGAAGAAAATAATAACGATAGAATTATGAATAAAGAAAGCGTGTTGTTTTACTACCCATTAAACCCATTATTTAATCACATCGACTTTCCTTGACTTGCGTATCAGCTTCTCTGACCGACGAGACACAAAATCGATGCTTTTCCGAAATCACAAACGTCATCTCCCCCGTGTGCGAGCACCTCAACTAGGAACTACAGTTGACGTCAGAAACAAACTTGCGGTATATTCCGTTTCTATTATTCAAAAATTGATCTCACAAGCTACGCAACAGTCTTTGTGTATTGGAAAATCACACGAGTCAAGGAAGCTTAATTATGTAACATTCGCTTGTCTCGCATGTTCTACTTGCGGTTGGAGCCACGTAATTAATACATTGCCTGTTGGCGTAAACTTCGGAAAACCACTCGTGTCTAACAATTGCTATGAATTTGATGCCAAAAGTATTCAAATAATATTATGTATCGCTATCAGTGTATTACATTACTTTCACAGATTTATCTATACATTATGAAAAGAGAGATTATATGTTTACTGTTATGATTATATGTTTATGATAGCAAATGAATATTTGTTCTAACATAAGCTAACTCACAACCTGCAATTACCTTATCTTGTAATTCAAAATATTTACGTAAAAAAAATTAGATGACTGAGGTAAATAAATATACGATCACAATACTTGTAGTTTACTTATTTGAAAAAACAATATAATATTATCAGCGATATGTAATGTCATTTAAGCTTTTTGTGCATTAAACTTCTATGTGAAAATCCATTTAAGGGCATTCATTCGAAGTATTTTCACTAAAAGTCACAGCAACAGGGGTGGTTTTCGGAAGGTTATTCGCCAATTGAATTGAATGAAGGTTAAGTGCAGGATTTAGAACATTAAGACAACCGATATATTAAGTAAGTTTTGGATAAGTGCTGCTCTTTTCAAGCCTCAGCACGGCGGTACAAGTAACCACTTGTAGCGTCGCAAGGTGAGACAATAGCCGGGTATAACGTTGTATCTGGAGACTCTCCATTGATTCTTCGAGTTCGACGGGACTCACAGGATTAACGCAGAGCGAAAATTTCGGCTCGGGTCTCATCTCACCGAAGCACTCCTGCCGATCGCTGGTTTCCGCGTAGCCCTCGGAACAGATGCAGCCGCCGTTGGCGCACTCGCTGTTAGGTATCGTGCAGTCTTTGTCGTCGGTGCAAAGGTCACCCAGCAGAGCGGTGACCACTCGAATCGTCGCCGGGGTCGGTCGATACGCCGCGGCCACTCCTGCGAAAAGTCAATGTGTCCGTCAACGACTGCCGCGATGGGCGATGAAAAAAAAAGAAAAAAGGAAACGAGACGTGATACGTTTAGAGGCTGAATTAATAACCTTAATGTGTAGCATAATTAAATTACTTGATAATGATATTTTCTAATCGTACACGTGTTGCCTCCGACGTTATTTGAAAAGTCATTTTGCGGGAGATTTGTTTTTAAAACAGCAATGAGACATACAATTTTGAAATTTTGCACAAATATTTATCTGTATTTTAATTATGTACAGTAATTTCTATAGATTTTTATCTTCAAGCTTATTAGCAAAGTTATAAGTAATTTCGTGCGAAAAGTTTTGTTCGCATGTGCCACGAAAGTTTTATTGGTTTTGTCACGATCCCAGAGGCTGTAAGTTTCTGAAACCAAACCGGCAGAGAAATTATTAAACTATAAACTTGCGGCTATCGTTCCTACCACGATGAAGTCGGTATCTTAAATATTGCGGTACATTTTAAGGACTCTCGAAGCCGAAGAAAGTTGGCCAGACATTGATTTTTCTCTTTGAAGTTACGCGTTCAGCGTTGCACAAAATTATTTATAACCTTAGTGAAGATAACAACCTTGGAGATAATAATGTGTAAAAAATAATGTATGTAACAGTTGAAGTAATGGATAAATATTTGTGCACGCCTTCAGTATTGTATGTTTCATAGTTTCTTTAAAAAAAAGAGAGAAAACTTCTAAAAAATCACTTACAAAACGGCGCTTCAAGTGTGGAAATATATTCTTAAGAAAATTTCAGCCTCTAGCTGAGCACGTGTGACATGTCAAGATTGTTATGCCTGTTGTGTACGTGTGGTACACAGAACATGTTCCGGGAATCACTCACGTTTTCTGCGAGCCAACGTCGTGAAAGATTGATCGCGATTCGATGCAACGGAACGCGCGGTCGCTGCGCGCGATTTGCTCGCGACGCCGAGAGCAATCGGAGAGTCCCCCGCGAGATATTAAGAGCGCGAGCGAGCGATAAAACACCCTGCCGTTTCCCCGGAATTCTATTTCGACGTAAATTTCATTTACAAGTTCTGAGATATTTAAAAAGTTGAGATCGTGAGCACCGCCTCGCCGCCGTGGTGTTTTCGTTGCAAAGCGGAGGAGCGCGACGGCCGCGACGAGAAAGCGGCCGCCGCATTTGCCGGAGTATCCTGAAAAAACAGACGTTGTTTTGACGGGAACCTGTCGGAAAAACTATCGTTTACATTTAGCGAGTTGTCAAACGGAATCGCCGAGCGCGTGCCGGACGTTTGCGCGCGACCGATTGAGGAGTCGTTCGCGTATTCTCGCGGCGATTTGCTCTTTAAAGCTGGACAAAATAGATTTTCTGCTACTCACGCGTGCTTGTGTGTGCCTCGCCGGATTATTGCTGTTGTTATTGTTATTGTTATTATTACGCCACATTTCAAGCGTTACAAGCGACTCCGCGAGGCATTAATGTTCCGATCGTGTTAATCCGAATTAACGGCGAGTCGATAATACCGTTAATGCAGAGTACATGTCAATTGCGTTACAAATTTACAGTTAATTAACAATTGTCCCGCGATACATTAGCGAGCGTGGCGTGAGTCGAGGGGGCGCGCTTTGAAATTTCGCCCCAGGCGGCGTGTACCAAAGCGCGTTTCGCGGCCTCTACCGCTCCTTGCGGAAGTTAGCCTATTGCGAACTCTTATTATTGATTGTGAAATTTTATAATTAAATGATCCAAATCCGTTTCCACAGAGATTTAGATTTTGTCATCGGAATCATTTTTTCCTAAATCTTTATCGGCTATTAATTAAATCGGCACCGAAAGCCAAGCTGGACGTACAACTGGCAGTTAGACGCCGAAAATGTGAAATGGAAGTTATACAGAGTGTCCGGGATCTTCTGGAAACGAAAAATTGTGAAGATTAATCAGATCAAAGTGAGAAGAAAAGTCAAGTACTATATTTTGCAAAAATCGCAATAGTTATTAATGATTGAAAATGACCACATCTAAGACCTCTTTTAATTGATAACTTGAAAATTTGCATATTTGTTTGCAAGATGATAAAGAACTTTTTTATTTAGAATGACCTGATCTATGACAGTATTACAGTGATAGGTTCAAGATTGAGGGTTCAAAGTTCGATGTATTTCGCTGTCTATCGCTAGATACAATAGCCGCCATGTAATTATAAATTAGTTCATTATGAGCAGAAAGGTCCTTTACTATTTTGCAAATAAATACGTAAATTTTTAATTAAAAAGCTTCCAGATGTAGTCATTTTCAATCATTAATAAATTAATAACTATTGTGATTTTTGCAAAATGGCACATGACTCTTCTTTTCAGTTTGATCTGACTAATCTTCACAATTTTTCGTTTCCAAAAGATCCCGGACACTCTGTATATTGGATTATATATCAAATCAGTCTGTTTGTTTTCCGAAAGTTCCGACTGGCATCGGAATTAATTTCCAAATTTCTATCGACTGTCAACTAAATTCGAATGTGGCCAATCATAGACTACATATAGTCGGGATTCAAACAACCAAATCAACTTAAATTTTTAACGGAAGCCGGATGGATGTACGACGGTTAGATTATCAGCCGAAACGTGAAATCGAAATGATATATTAATCGTGTGATGTTATCTAACACAAAAACAAGCGCCACATAAATGTTACACTGGCTGTTAATGGGTTAAGAAACAATCCGAGGCAATCCGAGTGGCGCCTTTTCTTCTCAAAAGTCGAGCAAAAACATTCGAGTCTCTTTCCGTCAGCGGACGGAGCAGCCGCTAAGCTGGGCGAAGGATTCAGGAAAGGGGAGGCTCGTATTTTTCTTTTTACCGTGTTTCAAGTTATCTCGGTCGATGGTGATGGTCTCTTGATGAGCTCGGTGGGTGTAATAATAACGTGGGTCCGGCTCCGGCACCAAGAGATGACGCGTGGACTTGGACAGCGGCGAGATGGCGGCCGCTGGTTGCGTGTACTGTACAGCCGTGTATCTCTTAACGGGGAAGTCCGTGTTGACCATAGGGTCGTCTGAAAATGTGCGTGAATTCCAGTTTCGGATTATGCACCGTTCGCGCGTGTCTCGCGACCGCGGAAGTAGAGCGAAGTAGGACCCGTTATCCGTCTCAGGATATCGATCACGTATCTTTTCGTCTGAACGCGTAATGTGGAAAGTTTCACTGACGAATTCTCAATATTTGTCATATTTGGAACTTTTCACTTTTCACGGTTAGGGGAAAGTACACGTGATCGATACCCGGCGAGCGTGAACGCCGTGAATAAGTAATTTCCCGCTGACAAACAAAACGCTCCCGTCGCCGTCAACAGCGCGACCGGCGACGCGGACGGAATATCATATGCCGTCAGGCGCGATTTTCATCTGCGGAAAATTGCATCGAACGGGACATTAAAGTAAGAAATTTCTACGCTGCGGAAGTGGGTCGCCACATATTGATATTACGAGGCATTGTTATATTGATAATAACAAGGTGGAGTGCAGCGCGTATAACCGTCGAAAAAGTCGGTCACGAGCCCCCGATTTTAATTTTATCCGAAGCCGATTTTAATCAGCTACTACTACTACTACCACCGCTACTGTAACTAACGCTACTACGTCGCCGCAGAAATCGCTTTCGATCATGCACGTACGTAATACACGTACGGTAAGTAACGTTATTAGCCGGACAGGATTCGCATTTTCTCGTGATTGTGTCACTGAAGTTTCATTATAATATTATTAATTTCTTCTCATTAAAAGTTATAACGATGGCGACACATATGCACGTGATCGTTGTGACAAAGGTAGGTCTCTTCTTCCTAGCTCCTCCTCCCCTTCTCTCATTTATTCTCTCTCTCTCTTTCTCTCTCTCTCTCTCTCTCTCTCTCTCTCTCTCTCTCTCTATCTCTCTCTCTGATTTTCTCTCTCATACACTTTCTCTCTGTTTGGATTTCTGTTAATTAATTTCGAAATAAAGTTTTCTGGAGGGAGAGAGAGAGAGAGAGAGAGAGAGAGAGAGAGAGAGAGAGAGAGAGAGAATGAGAGAGGGAAAGTAGGGGGAGAGAGGTTCGTAGAGATATAATTGGTTCATCCATCTCTCTCTTGCCGGGATTAACGAAAGTATGCCCGAGGCGGGCATTTTGGCGTTATAAAATTACACGTCTTTAATATAATAATATCCGAATACAAAAAGCGAGTGGAAGCCGAGTGCGGAGTTCGCTCGAAATTAATTTATCAATTCTCGCGCTCAAACGTGCTACTCTCTTGGGGAACATTAATTAATTTACACACGCGACGCGTGTGCGCGCTTCCGTATCTTTTACGTGTCAAATATCGCATCGTTACGGCTGTGTTGTTATCACGCTCGCTGCAACATTCGAGGCGGCCTCGAATATGACGTATAGCGGGTATAGCCGACACACGACACAGTCATGTGGGTATTCTTCGGAGGGTCGGAACATCGTCGGAAAGTAACTTTCAGCGGAGAGGGTAAGAATTATCGTTTCGATTCACGATTTCGTCCCCCCTGCTCGCTGTCTGCCGAAAAATTTCGGTGGAACGAGTAAAAGTCATTGGAATCGCCCGGCGAGCTATCGCAGTGATTTAAGTTGCGATCCTGAAAGCTACATCCGAGGTTTTCGACAAAAACTTGAACTATTGAAAGCCATTCCGCCAGCTCTCCCCTAATCTCTCCATATCCCCGCCTCTCTGTGTCCTTCCTCTTTTCCCTCTCACGCTCTCTCCCTCCTTTCCTCTTTCTCTCCTTTCTCCTTATACTTCTGCGAATGATTTACTTCGCAAGATGTTGTTCCTCGTGTCGTGACACATACGCGCAGTCCTTTATCTTCGGAATTTAACCGAAGAAATGTTTGCTCCTCTTCGAGAGAGAGAAGGACGTGAATAGATGAAGCTATCTTCTCGTGAGATTGAAGTCTCACGGGCCTTGCAGTATTAATTTGTAGTCGATCGGATATCACGAGAGCCTTAATCTAGTTTCGTTCAGGATTGAAATCAATCAGCGTAATGTTGATAAGACTGATATCTCGCCTGACTCGCGGAAAAACGCAAGATACACCGTTCGCGTTTTCAACGAGCTTCTCTTTCATCTTCACTCTCTCTCTCTCTCTCTCTCTCATCAACCTTTCCCCGTCCTCCTGCCTCTCCGATCGTTCATCTAATATCGGCGGATTGTTAACTGCGTTACTACGTCAACGTCCGCGGGGAATTCGATATGCGGGTGCATTAAATAAATTATCTCCCTCTCGTTCCGGCTATCCGTTATTTCATTTCTATTCGTGCGGAACGGACTCGCCTTGTCTCGCTCGAACGGCCGAAGAAGAAGGAGGAGGAGAAAGAAGCGGAGAAGAACAGGAGAGGACGGAAGGGAAGGAGGAGGAGGAGGAGGAGGAGGAGGAGGAGGAGGAGGAGGAGGAGGAGGAAGAGGGCGCGGCGCGGCGCGGCGCGACAGGATTCAGCTGAGCGTGGCGTGTCGGAGTTTCTCTAAATAATGAAAATCGAAAAGCTAATTCTATCGGCTCGGAGTAACGCGGAACTGTTAACAGGAGTCGGAGCGGGTCTTGATGGGATTTTAATTACTTTCCAATTGTCGCGTTGCTTCCTATTATTGCCCGTCGAGGACTATCGCTACTTTTTTTGCCCTCGACAATCATCCCCGGAGCCAGGCCAGGTCAGGCCGGGCCAAGCCCGTGCCCGCTTCTCTCTCTCTGTCTCTGTCCGCCTCTGGCGGCAACACCACCAACACCCCCGCATTGTCGTCCTCCACCCTCCCGCGTTTACCGACAACCACCCGCTTATTTGTCTCCGTATAATCGATTCGTTTATTTACTTCCGTCGCGAGAACGCGTCGACGAGCCCATCCGCTCCCGTTGTCGCTGCTGCAAATATCGTCGGCTTCCTGCTCCCCTCCCTCCCTCACTCTCTCTCTCTCTCTCTCTCTCTCTCTCTCTCTCTCTCTCTTTCGCTCTTTCTCTCACATTATACAACGCTCTCTCGCTGCCGGGTAACAGCTCCGGTCCATTTAAGGGATGAAGATCTCGACGGTGTCGCCGCAAGGGCTAGCGGACGCGACGCGCAGGATACGAGCCGACGTTTTACGACCGGTGAATCTCTACCGCTTCCTGTTTCCTGTTGATGGCTATTTTTAGCAAACTCGGAGTACATTTACACGGCTCGTGAAGCAGGTTTATCGATGTCGTTTCGCCAGAGAGGCGACGTGTCGGCTCCGACGGCTCCGCTGGGTGCCGTCGCGGCCAAGAAGTCGAGATCGGACGGCAGACTGCGCGTCGACTGATGCATTTCTCGATTAAGCGAGTGACACGCGGCACTTTGTAACGCAACGCGACATTTCCGGACGCGAAATTTCTTCATTCTCGACTCGCTGGCGACTTGCATCCGCCAGGGACTCGAGTCTCAGCGAGCCGCGAAACGAATCGAGGGCGTGTAATTCGAGTGAAATTCTACGAAAGATTGGAAATTAATCCTTGAATATCAGGATGTTTTTCCTTACCAGGACGAGTGAATTTTGACTCATAATTTCTTTATTATTTTTTTGAATGTGCACGAACTGTATATAAACATTTGGTAAAAGTTTGTGTAAAACTGTTTTAAACCATGTACAATTTTTTGAAGGAAAAACGACAACCTTTTACTGTAAAAGAGAACTTTTTACTTGAGCATAAATAGCCTGAGATATTTATGAAAATTATAAAACCTTCTCTTGAAAAATATACATTAACTCATGTAATTAAATTTACTTTTATCTAGAAAAAGATATCATCCGGTGAATTTTCACCCATCCTAGTCCTTAAGGATCGACAAACTGACATCGTTGTGCAAAACGAACGTTGCGTTTTACTCGCCGAAGGAAGCGAGTTAGTTTTTCACACAGAAATGAAAATATGAAATCTCAGAATCTCGGGAAATTCGAAATACGTGCCCTCGGCAATCGCGTGTATATCAAGAGTCTCAAGTCAGCCGGTTCGATCAGGCGGTCGAAAATCCTCTGCACGCAAGCGGAATTTCGGCGAAGTCGCCGCGTGCCGATCGATATCTCGTGGAGCTTTCTGCCTGATGAAGTTTTTATTGACCGTCAACTATTTTGAGACTAAGTATATATCGCTCGAGATCGCAGCGCACGCGGCTTGCACCTCATCTTGTCGATCAGCGACGTCCGTCCGCGTTGCTGAATTTAACGTCAAGCGTACATTACAAGGATATTGATTTATCGCCGTCGTCGTTGCGAGTTGATTCGAGGAGGTCGCGCGTCCCTCTGGCGCGGCCGCATTTTCGCCGTGATCGTATGAAAAAGTAAACGTCGATCGTATCCGATGATCAGCTCGGCTCTCATCCTTTCGGCCCTCGTGGCCCCGATGCGACGCATCCTCCCTTCCCCCCTGCTGACGTGTGTACGTGCGCGTCGGTGTGTGTATGTGTGTGTGTGCGTATATCCTCTCGCCTCTCGTCCGATAATCCAATCATTATACCTCGCGCTTGCGTCAAAGGCGTCACACGCTCGCAGGACATCCGAGCCATCGCCGGCGACCAATCGCCCGCCGCCTGTCTACATCCTCCGGCACGAGAGGCCGCGCAGGAAGTCGGTGCGGCGGCCGTCGCGAGAAATTACGGCATGCATTATTTACAGGATCCAAAGTGCCGGCACCTATATCGTCCTGGGCTCCCCTTTGCCTCTCGTTGCCGCGCCGACACCGTCTCCACTTCCACCTCAACGGCTCCGCCGTTGTCGCCTTCACGTCGATATCGTATGTCGACGTTGGGCCAGAGGGATAAAAAAGTACATCGAAAGAGTGAATAGGGGGAGAAAGAGAGAAGGGCGCTGTTGATCCTCTAGCGAAGTCGGTGTGCACTCGGTGGAACTGCTAGAGTCGACGGGGAAGAAGGAAGAGCAGCAGGAATAGGTGAGGGATGAGGAAGGGGGAGGCAACAACGTAAAGAGGGGGCGAAGCGGGAGGAGGAGTCCGCGAGGACGGCGTAATCTGATTTATGTTTGACTCTGGAGGACGAGCTCCGAAGAACTTTTTAAGAGATTGACTTCCAACGAGAGAGAAGCAGACGTGGGACCGGTTGAAAGTGAGGGGAGAGGGGGAGGAGGTGGCGGCGGTGGGACGAGCGGGAGGGCTGAGCAATCGAAAATAAGGGGTTGGGGCTCGCGGGGTGAGCAGGAGACTTTAATAGATTCCGACGTTTCGTTCCACGAACTTCGTCAGAGGTTCGGAATATCTTGAAGAGCATGAGGGGGTGAGAGAACTGGAGAGCGAGAGAGAGAGAAAGGGGGAGAGAGGCTGAGGGTCGCTGGCAAGGTAAGAGGAAGGTGAGCGCGGAGGGTCTCCCGGTCTTCTTTCTGCAGCGGTTTATCGTACCGCATCGCTAGACTCGCCGGTCTGATTGAGTCGAGCCGAATTCCGCGCCGGGATAATCAACGGCTCGCGAAATTAGATCGCGACGAGGCAGTCCCGGAGAGTTGTTTGAATTAAGAAGATTCGCGCTAACGAGAAAGAAAATGCGTGCGCCTGGTTGCTCCCGGCTGAGAGACTGACGCCCTCTCGTCATCGGCGTCGCGACGACCGCGCGCAAAAGCTCGACGAGAGTGTGCTCGAAGATGTGGCGTCTCGTATCTTCCTCGCTCTTCTTCTTCTTCTTCTCTTTCTCCGTCTGCAGAAGTCGTAGAATGTGACGTCGTTCGTCACAGCTCCCAGTAGTAATGACGAACTTCCCCGGCGCGACAATCCTGAGCGACAACATGGCGGACATGTGCATTCTGCCGAGGAATCGAAAACTTGGACTTTCGGAAAGCGATAAATCGGCTGGAAAAATCGCAATGCCGGAACCCGAACGGACTCCAAGACGATATATCTCAATTCTCTTGAAGCACCCGAGGCGAAATTCTGATCCAGCTTTCGATCTCAATACCTAACGCTAATTTCATACTTTGAAGCTTGTATCAACCATTTTCCAAGCATCGCGATTTGCAGAGTTTTCTCGCGTTTGAAGTTTTTGTAAATGGCAAATTGTAGATTTCATAATATTTAGAATAAAATTGCAATTTTTATATGAATTGAATCTACATTGGGGCCCTCTCTTCCTTTCTCCAGAATTAGAACAATGTTGGCATACTTCAGGCTGAAAATATGACCAAAATTCCGACTCGGCTAACGCTTCTCGTGCAACGAAGTTAAACGTGTAACGATCGCTGGTCACACGCTATCAGACACGATTACCTCCGCGAGTGACACATCTCCGTACACGACACAAAATAAACCTCCGACAGATCGGCAAAATTGCATTCTGAGAGGTCAACTAGCCATTCGGCGTTTCGGCATGGTGACTTTCCGGGTAACTGTCCCGTTCGGTAAATTTCAATACATTTCCTTCTCTGCCGAGACGACTCACGTCCATCGCGACAATATTATATCGCAGGCTCACCGATGTGTTCTCCGATAACCGAACGAGACTCCTGCATATCCCAGGAACAGGATCTCCCAACGAGCAACCTCATCACCCCAGCCCTCCCCGCGAGGGGGCGGGGGGGGGGCGGGACACGTCGCCTCTCCGTCGCGTCGAGGAACTTCGCCCGCGACTCGCGGTATAAAACTGTCGCGACCGATAATTCGGGAACTCGCGTGTCGCAAAAGTCTCTCGCTACGTACATCGCCCTGCCGCGCAGGAGACGTCACACGCGGGTTTAACATGGTCGCCGGCCACTTTGACCGGTACACCTCTTCTCGCCAATTACCGCTCTCTCGATGTCGGTTCTTCCGGACACGTCCCACGGGCGCCACTTAAGTCGAGATCGCCGTTGAAAGTCCGCGGTGATTCAGTTAAAACCGCCTTCGCGCGGCCAGCGCAGTTTCGCGAGTTAACGTTCTTTACGCCAACTTTCTTTACGCGCGCGCGCACGTGCATGCGAGAGAGAGAGAGAGAGAGAGAGGGAGAGACACGTCGCTTCATCCCCTTCGCCGTCATTCCCTCATGCCGCCGACCACGTTCTCCTCCCCCGGGGACTCGCCCCGGGGACGAGCCTGCAGCGCAAAGCGAACCCAGAGAGCCATGCGGCAACGTGCGGCTTCTCGCCGTATTTCTTCTCCTGCGCGCGGGAAATAAAACGCACCGGTAAATCATCGAGTGTGCGCCGCGGGGCGAAAGGCCAGCGCGAGCGACAAATCTTGAGAGAGGAGAGAGAGAGAGAGAGAGAGAGAGAGAGAGTCGAGTACGTAATACATTTAGACGCAATTCCGCCTCCGGATGGCTTTCACGAGAGAGGCAACCGTGCGCGTATTCATGCGTACGCGTTTAACGTCGTCCTGTCCATCCCGCGCTCTTAGCGCGTTCTTCACAGCTCCATAAATACGAGGGGACCGAGAAACAGCCAAGGCGTTCGCGATCGTAACATGGCCGAACACGGCGCTCTCATTCAATCCGATTCGCGGTCGCGTCTTATATCGCGAGGCTTCCCCTGTCGACTTCGATGCAGCTGAGTCCCGTTCGCTCTCACTTTGCTTCCTTTCTTTCTTCCTTCCCTCCTTCCTTCCTTCCTTCCTTCCTTCCTTCCTCCGTTCGCGACTCGCTGGACTTGTTTGTTATTAATCACAGAGTTGTTATTCACGACGGGCGCGACGGCAACGCGCGCTGTCCTTGATTAAGAAAGCAAGCAAAGTATGGCTGCAGGGGTGTGTGAGGGGGTGAGTGAGTGAGTGTGTGAATGCGTGTGGGCGTTGCCTGTGCTCCGTTTGTTGCGGGTGCGGGGTTACAAACATATATACATATACATGTCAGTAGAAACTTGATGAGCTTTTTATTATCACGTTTGGATATACAAAGTAGGCTACTGGTTAGTCGGTTCTTCTATAGGACTCAGGCTCTGGGCGTTTTGTTACTCCCTCGTAATTAGGCTCGTCGCGCGCGGGAAAAGACAGAGAGAGAGAGAGAGAGAGAGAGAGAGAGACAACTCACTTGACACTGACTACTTCTCGCCTCGTCTACGTCCGCCCGTGGATCCTGCTCTAATTAATAACGTCCTATCTCGAAAGAGTCTACGCACCGATCACGTGTCACAGAGAGTGCGCGCGCGCGGTCATCCTGCTGCCCGGCTTCCTAGGCCGTCGTTCTTCCGCGAGTCGTCTCCGAGAAGGATCTCGGTCCTCGATTCATCCCCACTTATCGTCGTGTCATTCTCCAGTTCTTCCCTCCCGTGGTTCAATCCCACGGTTTCTCCCGGTGTCGCGTTTCTACTTCGAAGTTGACCTCGTCGGGACAGGGGACTCGTCTCGGAAAGGGTAAGAAGACGGAAGAGAGACGGAAGAGAGAAGAAGGGACAAAGAAGGGAAAGGAAGGGAATGAAGGAAAAAATAAAGCAAAAAATAAAGAGAAATAAGGAAGAAGATGGGAAGCAAGGGCAAGAGAAAAGAAACGTGACTTCGTCAACGTCGATCAGCCCCAACGAGCGCGATCCTTCGTGAATCGAGCCGAGATAGAGACCCTCTCCCTGCGCGCTACCACCTTCGCCGTAACCGACGCGATCACTCCTGTCGACACGGTTCTTATTTTCTATGGTAAGGCGCATACTCTTCAGTACTACGAGTATCGAACAGCGATTATCGCGTATCTAACTACAGGGCTGGCTCCGGCCGATGCGAGCGTTCGTTACCTCTTCTAAGGTAGAGAGATGCGGGGTTCGTTAACAGACAGCGTCTACTCCCGGGGATTTGTCCTCGACGGCCGGCGCGGGCCTGCGTCTCTACGAGAACTCTACGAGGGCTCGTGCGCGCTCTCGTCGCGCCGCGCGCGTGATTAATTCGTTAACTCGCCGCGTTAACTCCCGGCACACAAGGGTGCGCGAACGGTACGCTGTATAGGCGCACAACGAGACGGCAGGACTCTCTCAGTAGCGCAGCACGAAAAGCGACCTGTTCGGCGTACGCTCAGTGAACCCACCTCTGCAGTGGCCGAAGGCCTGCGTCACCACGTCGGCCTGGTGGCGACACGCGTACAGTCGTAGCTCGCATTCGTTGTCGTAGGTCTGCCCGTCGCTGCCGCAGACCGGCACGGCCGGTATGTCCGCGGGGCAGGAGGACGGGCAGACGCAATGCGCGTTGCCGATCTCGGAGCAGTGGCCACCCGAATAGCATTCCAGCTCGTTGCAGGACGTCGGAATGGGCGGTATCGTATCGGCTGCGAGCAGAACGGGTTAGCGTCGCTTTAATAAAATCACGCTCGCTCACTGCGACCGTCGTCGTCGTCGTCGTCGTCGTGCAGGGGAGGAGCCATCCACGGACGAGCGTGTGTCAGTGGGGCGGATGACCTCTCGATTCGCTTTTCGGAAAATGGAACTTTTCCTGGAAAATTCACTCTTCGATTCTCCCCTGCTCGATGTCTCTACGGATCTGTTCTCTCAGTGCGGAACCGACTTTCGATTCGTTCGTCAATGTTGTTTCGTTTAACGCAGGATTCAGCTGGGGTGAATGTTCGGGAGACAAATCGACAAAAGTCGGGCAGAGAAGAATCGAGAATTGAAGAACCGGTCTTTGGAGCAAAAGATCGATTTTCTGAAAATCGAATCGAAATTGCCTGTCATTGGTATGTAGCCCCCGTCGGGATGTTGACGCTCGACCGGCGCGCTCACCCCCTTAGAGCTCATCGAATTAAAGACACGACGACGTGAAGCAGAAGATGATTATGGAAATTAAAAATTCCGATGGACGCGTTGCTACGCGAGAGATACGATTACGAATTGTTTATGAATGGCGATGAAGGAATGGTTCTTTTTTGTACCATCGATCGAACGTAATTCTACGTTGAGAACAGAAATATCTGGAAAACGAATATTCATTCTGCGGGTACTGGTGACGTATTCTCTTACGTTAACGTACACATTTTTGACAATGAAAAGACACTTCTGTTCAAGTGAGAAAAATATACATTTTTATAAGAGAGAAATTGTTTTATTTCAAAGAAAATTTAGAAATTGGGCTTCAAGCGAATATACTGTCGGTGCTCAGTACCGCGAATAAATATTGTTTTACTCCCTAGATATTTATGTGCATGAAAGTGTGGAATAATTTAGCCTAGCAGGTGACGACCTAGGTAATTTTACCTAGGTCGTAGGGGGTGGTCTTAAAGCGTAACGTCGCAATGCCCGGGGAATGCTAGAAACACGGGAGCTGTCGCGAAGCAAAATTCAGATTCAGGATGCGATTCGAAGACCAGTCGCGCGACGAAGGAACTTTGTCGTTCGTCACGTGCGCGCGAGCGAGTCGCGCGTGTCCTTGCGGTTGTATGTAATCAGACGTTGCGATTATTTTATTTCTCTCCTCTTTGCGTTCGGCTAGTCGCGATTACATCGACAGTCGATTATTCTTACGCATGATACCTGAGTAGCATCCGGTAGGCGTGAGTATTTTGTTGTGGTCGTTGCAGATCGTGCACTTTTGCCCTTGAATGTCGGGCTTGCAGACGCAACGTCCCGTCATCTGCTCGCAATCTTCCCTGACTGAGCCAAATAGCGAGCAGCCGCATGCTACGGATCAGAGGAAGAAAAGACGATTTATATCCACTCGTAAGTTTGTTAGTACAAGTCTATGCCGAGTCGAAAGAGATGAAATCCTGCCTTCGACCTTTCACACGGTATTTCATTTAACGCTAATTTTTAGTACTATATAATCAGTCTCTTTTGTTTGTGTCTAATCGTTGCCGAGAGATCTTCTTACGGGATATTGCGCTTTTTCTGCTAAATCGAGTCTCCATATAAATTAAATCTCCATTGTTCCTTCAGACAATTTAGATCGAAAATGGGTGAAAATTTCGACTGGGGTGGTTTCTCGTGTAACAAAGTTAAATCGCGGACACGATTATCTTGACGAGTAATATCTTCGTACACGACAAAAGATGGAGAAGTCGATCACACGATCGGAAAAATATATTCATTTTAGGACAGGGGGCTACTACTTTTCATCAGATTCTTATTGAGATTATATTTTACGGCCGAAGACCGCGTTATACCGGGTGAGGCATTTAAAACAGGTCATCTGAATAACTTTGAGAATATGCAAGACGGCAAAAGTATTAAAATTATACGGTTGTTAGTGACGCGTAGCAATAGCAATAATTTTGAATAGCATCATCAAGATTACAGGAAGGTGACTTTGAATTTTTTAAATAGAAATCTCCATTTTCTTATCATATCATCCTTTTCTACCAATTAATTTGGACAATTTTTGTCCGGAATATTTTTTTATTTGTCTAATACTTTTTGAGATATTTAAGGAAAACTTGGTAACTTTTAGCTTGATAATTATTTGTCGAAAGAAAAAGTAATACTAGACTCTATACTCTATTCGGTTTTAAGAAATGCTATTACAACAGCGCCCTAACTTTTGTTAACTTCATTATCCTGGGAAATTTCAAAAGTCAATCTTGAGATTGAAAAAGTTATCAAGTTTTCCTGAAATATCTAAAAGAATAAATTGAGGCAAATAAAAAAATGTTTCGAACAAAAGTCCAAATTAATTGATAGAAAAGAAAAATAATACAATAAAAATGAGGGTTTCCATTTAAAAAATTTAAGGTGGTCCTTCTGTAACTTTCAAACCCTGATGACGCTATTCAAGATCATACATAGTGTTGCTGTGTGACGCGTCATTAGAAACCCTGCAACTTCTGTATTTATTAACATTTTTTCTATCTATTGCATATCTTCAAAGTTGTTCAGACGGTCTGTTTTAGAGGCGGTGCCTCAGCTTGTATAACAACGTTGCGTGCACGAGAGCACGCAACGTTATAACGGATATTCTCGCTAAGACGTGCTCCACACAAGTCGCAGAGCGCTAATTCTGATTTCAATCTTACGTATGCATCCCTGATGACCCTCGCTAATCTTCGGCAGCCCCCAGTAACCCGGCATACACCTATCACACTTGAGACCGCCCACACCCGGCCTACATTCGCATTGACCGGTTTCCGGGTTGCAGGTGTCGGACACGCTGCCAAGCCTATTGCAGTTGCACAAGCTCGGACAGCCGGCGTTGTCCGGGCCGAGGGCGGCGGTCTTGCCGTCCGGGCAGCAGCCGTGCCATGAATCCGCGCACTTTACCACCTGGATCCCCTGGACTGGAAAAGCAGCAAGCGGTCACTGTCAGCGCGAATCTCGCGCCGCGTCGCGTGCGTCGCGGAAGCTCGTGCGACTTAATACACGGCGATACGTTGATCCTCGAGGGTCCTCGGGATCGAAACGCGGGGCTGACGTCTCGCGAATAGACGCGCTTTCGATATCGATTCTCTCGCGGAGAATCGGCACATCTCCCTCGCGGGGAGGATCCCGTGTTAAGGCTGATTCTCACTATCCGCCGAAATGTTCCTCGACACTTTCCCATTGGAATGCTCGAAGGGAAAAGAGAAGGAACGACGGACTGACGGAATTGTTTCTGTCGCCGCATAAGCGGATAGCGGGAATCCAGGCTTAATTGTTAGACTCAATTCGAGCGCGCGTGTGGACGTTGCTAGCCGGTCCGGCATTACGACTAATGCCCGGTTTCTTCACACCTCCCAATAGCTATCTTTCAGGTAAAGATATCCGTCAGATAACTAAAAATTCGTTTTCTTCACTAAAACCTCTGGTTACTGGTATCTAACAGATAGCCATTCTTCATGTTACTAGCTTTTGACACAAAATGTGTTAGAAACTTGCTATAAGTCACCATATTCTGCCAGCGACATATTCTTTCCCGGGCTAGTATTAACTAATTACGGTAATTTCCACAGTATTAACGTCATCGGTCTTCAATTGCATGTAACAATTCGAGCGCTATATTCTTTTTCAAATGAAATCGTTCGAAAAATTCCGTATCATTCCACACTTGAAAACTGTTCGGTTCATTTCTTATTGTATAGGGTCTTCTTTTCTCATCACAAATCCCTCATCATCATCATCATCATTATTCGTCAGATTCAAAAATATTAATATTCATGAGTAACAAATCCATGTTGTGTGTGTCTTCATAAAAACAGCAACAGCAACGGTAGATTACGTATTATTGTAATTTTTTAATTATGTCAGGGCACTGGAATTAATATCTGCCAGATATCCGCTACTTCAGGTACTGGATAAGTTTGTCCGTCGGATACAAACTTCGCAGAGGTGAAGGAAACCGATTCTGGCAGATATCTCATGAATAAAGTTATCGACAACTTATCTAGAGGTGAAGAAATTGGGCATAAGAGTGTCAGCTCGCTAACCTTTCTTACAGCAACGAGCGAATCGCGTGGTCTGATGGCAGTAACTATTGCTAGGGCAGTCTTTGCGTTCCGGTCCACTACCGCAGTCGTATTCTTTGCCCTCGGCGTCTACTATCGGAGGGTCGCCGTTGCAAGGCTTCACTTCCATGCCTGCACAGATGCCGTGGTGTGAGGAGGATACTCATCGACTCGTTCGTCGTAAAGCGCGACGACGATCAACGCGCAATCGCGGATATTATAGCGAGCTGATTCGCCCGTTTCAGCCTTCGAGCGCGAATCGCCACTCGTCGGAATATATCGCGACGAGTCGTGTATCACTCGCGAGGACGACGTTTCTTCGTCGGCTCGCTGATTGACGCGCGATGTGACGGCTATTTATCGCGGTCTGATTCGCTCGTTCGTTTCAGCCTCGACGCGCGAACCGCTCGTCGGAATATACCGCGACGGAATCGTGTATTATGCCGCGAATGGATGAAATTTCCTCCGGGACTCAGTAGGGAAAGCAAGCGGCCATTTGTGAGTGCGAGTGATTCGATCTACACGGAGAGAATATCGTGCTTTTCTGCCGTATAAATTCCCGTCGACCTTATCACGTCCTCCAGCGTAGCACTGTCAGTCGACTTTGCTTCGCTGAGGCGCCCAGTAAGGCTTTTGCTAAAGAACGCGTAGAACATTTTCCTAACGTCCTTGAAATATAAACTAGTAATAAGTTCTCTTTTTTTAAGGGACGCGGTCAATTTTTTATGTCACACTTTCTAAAATATTGAATTCAAATCAAACGTGGGTTCTTTGACGCCACAGCTTCCAAAGTAAGTAAGTATTTCGTTTCATTCCGAGTGTTCCGACGAGGACGGAAAAATGGATTGTTTATTGTTTCAGTTATTTCAATCGGAATATTTCCCACCGCTTGCTACAATCCTTCTGGCAATAAGTGGCCTCCACGGTAGAGAAGAAGACATCCTTATAAGCAATTTATTCCTCGTCAAGCTTGAAAATTAACCGAATCACACCTAATATCAAACTTGAAACTGAAGGATAATCGATCGCTGTGTTCGCCGGCTGCAAAATGCCTATCGTGATTTTTGCCACAAAAATTCCCCTCGTGAGACCGAAGCGACAGCGGTGCGGTGAAGCCGTGGGAAAAGCAATTTCAACAAGCAGGGTGGTTAGACCGAAGTTGGCTCGGAGAGCGAGGCAGTGCGTGTGTCGCGCGTCGATCTCGCGGGCCGATCTCACGGCGACTCTTTCGCCGGCGCTTCCCAACCTTGGCAGAGTTCGAGAGGTCTCAGCCGCAGCTCCTGCTGCCGCTGGCAGGCCTCCATCTTCATGGCGCAGAGGGAGGAGTAGGTCCTGAGGTCGCTGCCGCAAACTGGTCGCATGTTCTCCGGCGAGATGGAGGCGCAGTCGAACCTACAGCTGCACCTGGGGAACTTATCCGGCCCGAGCTCGCAGGTCGCCTCGAAGTCGCAGTGGATGTCCTTGCAGGCCTCGCGCTCCTGCGTGCTGGTCACCTCGGCCACGGTGGTGGCCACGCGAGTCACCGCGGGCGTCGACTTGGTCGCTGCGTGTTAGAAGCGATTAAGGGCGGTTAGAGCGAGGGAGGGAGGGAGGAGGGAGACAGCGCGGTCCGTCGTCGTTAGAGCGTTAGACTGCCAGGTCATTAATGACGTGCGGTTAATGCGCGCGATTAGCGTTAAGGGAGGGCTCTAACGAACCGCCGCGCCACCGCCGCTCATTCACGCCAACTATTTTCAATTACGCGTCACCGTTACCGCCTTGCGACGGCGACAACAACGTCGCCTTGTTCTTGTCGCGGGTTCATCAACTTCCGAAGACTATAGCCGCGCTAAGGGTGTGTTCGAGACGTCTAAGCAGCGTCTGGAAGTTCCGAGCGTCGCGCTCAAAGGGTCGTTTCGCCTCGTCAGACGCTGCGCGTACGTCGGCTCGCATTCGACGGCCCTTCATCGCGAGTTCCTCGCCCCCCCTCCCCTACCGCGCGTGATAGCGCGAGACTACCATGGCCGGGCTTCCGGCCACGCGAACGAAGGGGGGGTGTTTTATCGCCGCGCGTCGAGCGTTCGTTCACCGCGGAGCGTTCCTCGCGGGGCGAGAATGTCACGCGGGATGCGCGACAGGGGTGGAGAAAGAGAGACAGGTATAGCTAGGTACGTAATTCCGGGAACATACTCAATGCCGCCACGGCGAATCTGTCGCCGCAGTCCCCGTAAAACGTGACGTGCAACGCCGGCAACTTGGGGTCTCTACCGCAGGCCGCGCGCTGCAGCTCGCACTCGGACTGGTAAGTTTTCGCATCGCTACCGCAAACCAGCTCCCCGCTGCTCTCCGGGCAGACCTTCGGGCACACGCACACGCCCGCCACGCAGTGCGCCCCGTGCTCGCACTCCACCCTCGTGCATAGCTCTGCAAAATATTCGGTCTCCTCTGCTTACGCGGCTTACGCGCGCGGCGTCTTTGAGTCTTTAACCCTAATTAACGCCCGACATCTTTTTATAAGTGTTTTAAGAATAAAATTTGAGTTTTTTTTTTTTTAACCGAGACTATAAGTAGTGGTAACCAAAAAAAATATCAAAATTTTATATCTACGAAAAACTACCTTCTCGAGCAGAAACTACTCCCAGAAGCGAAAAATACGCGTGATCGGTTAAATTTTTCTTCTTAGTTTTAATAATATCTTGTAGATCACCACTTAGATAGTCAATCGTCCCTTCATTTTTCGCTGCATAAAAAACTGTAGGTCACCAGGTTTCACGAAAATAAGTTGATTTCTTGATTTTCGTGTCCACCATGTTGGATTCGCCATTTTGAATTTCTGTATTCTTTTAATTTCACATTTTGTATCTGAGAAATGTATAAAATTATAACAGATACCAATCTATTCATTTATAGTGCACTTCTAGATGTCAGTAACAATGCTAACTATGCCTACTTGGAATTTGACAAAACATGTTATCATTAAAACTGAGCTAAAAAACAGACTAAACCGAATCTACATACAATCTATGTATCATTTTTTAAAAGAAGAATTCACCTTTACAGTGGTGCAAAGAAAACGAAAATATCTTTTTTCACTAAGTTATGGATTCTTAAGTGCGTTTCTGCTAACTATAGTTACCAGTAGGCGTTAAAGGGTTAAATCAGCCTCACCGAGTTCCGAAGAGCTACCAAATATTGACGAGCGACTTCCCCTCGAGTGTCAGTCGTTTTCGGAGTCAAGTGGAGTAAGACGATCATTTCCGGTAATTTTGAGGAAATGGGGAAAAACAGTAAAGAAAAAAGCAAGCTGCGGAATTGACTTTGGGCACTCAGTATCAATTGAAAGGTTTAATTCGTTCGTTCGAAGTCTAAGAAGTATGCAAAGAATCGCAAGAAAATTACGAAAAATGATTAAAAAGACGAGTTTAAAGATTTTATTATTTGTTTGAAAGTGGGGAGTTCGATTTGTACTATCTAGCTTCAAAGAAGAAAAACCGTACGTAAAGTGTCGCAAAAATGCAGAAAAATAACAAAAAGGAGCGGTTCGAAGAGTTGGTATTTTCTTTTCCCTTCCTAAGTGGAAAGCTCTCCATTCGTTTAGTCGTAGACTCGAGTCGTTTGCCAAATTGAAGTTTCAAAAACGCTATGTAAAGTATCGCGAAAAATGAAGAAACATAGTAAAAAAAAAAAGAAACGAGTTCAAGAGTTATTTTCTTTCTCGTTTCCAACTGAAGAATTCCACTCGCTTAGTCGTGGGCTCGAGTTGGTCCAATTGAAGTTTCAAAAGCAACACGTGCAAAGTATCGCAAAAAAAGAAACAGCAAAAAAAAAGAACGGAAAAGAAATAATAACAAAGACAAGAGAAAAAGACAAGAATTGAGAAGAGCTATTTTCTTACTCGTTTCTAGGTTGGGGGGTTCCGCTTGTTTAATCGTAGACTCGAAAGATATAAGATCTGAAGCATCGGGGAAATTGCTCGGGGCAGAGAGAACGGCAGGAGATAACTCCGCTTTTGCCCGCGCGGCGGTATCAGGCTGTGCGATCTCATCGCGTTAGCTCGCGCTTACAAGGCGCATTAAGTACACGCTTGCTTACCGCAGTCACCCACGTAGGTAATGGTGATGAGGGTCTGACTCGTGCACGACGCCTTTTTCAAGGCGCACTCGTTGTCGTAGGTCACTCCGTCGGATCCGCAAACCTTCTCGGTTGGCTCGTTTAATCCGCCGGCTTCTTTCACCTGTACACACGCAAGCGCAAATTCATTCAAGGACCGTCCGCCTGAGATAGTGCGCGTGCCTTCAATCAGCCGCGTCGTTACTCACTCCAGTTAGTTTCTCGTGTTCATTTCGTTCTCAATTCTCACCGTCGGCCGCGACACAAATAACGCGCAAACGCGCGAACGCGCTATTTCTCAACGCATTCGGCGCCGTCGCGTCGCCGCGGCCGCGCCGGTCGGTGATCATTTCTCGCACGATCATTTGTGCTTTTAAAACATTACAATTGTACATAATAGCGGAGTGGAAAAGCGTGAGAGAGACAAGGATGCACTGGCGCAAGCGGATCGATACTTTGATTTATTAAAATTCTCCAAATGATTGCATGCGTTGCTTCACGTCGAGACAATCGACGGAAGATTAGCTGAGATATTCGCTCGGCGGCAAGACTGCGCGTTAAACAGAAATACGTCATTTCCTCCACTCAGGAGATTCATTATTCGCACCGCCTCTCGTCCCTGCGTATTTTTTCGCGTGTAACGAGGGCTTCGCCGCGAAAGCACGGATGAAACGGGACCACCGTGCGCGTTCGCGCGCAGCTGCAGCCGAGGGGGTGCGAAAAGTAAAAAAAGCAAGGCAGGTTTAAAAGTAAAAGTTAAAAGCGGAGAAAAAGGTGGGACTTATATACGGAGAAAGAGAGAAAGAGAGAGAGAGAGAGAGAAAGAGAGAGAGAGAGAGAGAGAAAGAGAGAGAGAGAGAGAGAGAAAGAGAGAGAGAGAGAGAGAGAAAGACACGGACCCTGCGTGTCTCACTTGTTGCGCGTTACGGGGGGCTGCCAGGGAACGCACGTTGCATTTGACGGACAGTGATGCAAGGTCGGGGGTTGCGCGAGGCGAGGCGGGGCGGGGGCGGGACGGGGGCGCGGGTGCAATAACACAGGAAAGAGCAAAACTTAATTAGCCCGGCCGTCATATTCGCGGCTGCTCTTGTTTGCTTATTACAAGCGCGTTTCATGAGCTCTCTTGCCACCCTTCGTCGGCCGCCATGGTTACGTCGCGCAGTTGCGCGCTTACCGGGTGTTCCGGCACGGCGGAAAAGGAGAGAGAGAGAGAGAGAGAGAGAGAGAGAGAGAGAGAGAGAGAGAGAGCGTGAGAGAGAAAGGGAGAAGGGGGACCGCTCATCAACGGTGGCGTGTTCCCCGAGACGAATTTCATCATAATTTTCTCATTTTTCTATTTCCCTTGCTCTCACGCCGGCTGCAGCACAGCGCGGCGATTAACCGCCGAGCAGTTCCGCTTAATTACTAAGCGCAGAGTATAATCGGCGGTGGATGATCGAATTAGCCGACAACGAGCCGCGCCAATATCAAAATGCGTTTCGAATGTACGATTAATCGGCGATAAATAATTCGGAGCTAATTATTAGCGGTGTCGTTTATAATTCACGCGACTTTCGTCCGCCGCCGCCGACGACGCGAATAGACACGAACGCATGCACATGCGACTTGGATCGCTTCAAAGAGCCGGAAGAGGAGGAGGAGGAGGAGGAGGAGGAGGAGGAGAGCAGGAGAACGATTATTATTACGGCCGTTCGAGAGGCCGCATCCGGCAGCGCTCTGCGGTGAAGTTTCCGCGCGGGGACCCGCGCGATTTAGCCGCAATCTCCCGCGTGAAGTTTAATTGACGTCAGTCAGCTCATTTCCCGAGGTTAATCCGCGCGCACGCGCGAGCCCGTGGCTCGTGTTTCATTAAGAGGATTATCGTATGCGAATGCGCCCACCCCCCCTGCCGCGGCGGCGCTTCCGCGCGTGGCGAGCGCGACCTTCTGTCCTGAATTAGGAATAAAAGCACCGGCTTAGAGCCATGACGCGAGCGGCGAAAGCCACCCGCGCTTAATCCACACACCGGGCGCGATCTCCGCCGTCGAAGCGGCTGATTTTTGTAGCGACGCGCGTTTGTACGTCCGCGTTGATGCCGCGGACATATCGATTTAATCTGTTCCAGTCCGGGTTCGCCAGTCCGGCGGATTACGAGCATCGCGACGGGGCGGACGAGAGCATGCGCGAGTAACGGGAGCAATGAATGAGGCCGGAACTTGAAATTATGCCCGGTGTGATTTTCCGACGCGCTGAAAACCGAGTAATCCGTCAGTGAGGCTGCGATCGGTCCGACTAATTTCGGCGGCTTCCGCTCGTTCCGCGTAATTGATCCTGCGTTATCCGGCGGAAATACGTTCCGGAATTCCCACACGGTGCGTCGTTTTCAGGGAACGGACGGCCGGACGCGGACTGATGGACGGATGAGTCGGATGGACGAGGAGACCCGCGATGTCGTCGGCTCGTTCAACCGGCCGATAAGCGTTTGTGCTTCTCTCCCTCCCTCTTTCTCTCTCTCTCTCTCTCTCTTTCTCTCTCTCTCTCTCTCTCTCTCTCTCTCTCTCTCTCTCTCTCTCTCTCTCTCCCCCTTTCTGTTCCGGAAAAATAGTACAAGAGTCGGCGTCGGCATGGATCTGGTTCCTCGGTCGTAGCGAAACCTGCCAACCTAGTCCTTTTCTCAACCCTTCCTTCCCGAGCGCATCCCTTATTCCTCTCGCTTCGCCGCCGCTGCCGCCATCGCCGCGTCACGGACGACCATGAAGGGGTAGAACGCGTAGAGGAAATTCGGAATTGTTCGCCGTTCGCCGTCAGCAGGACGTTCCGCGAATCCGTGAAATCCGAGCCGCGCTATCTGTCCGCCCTCTTCTCATCCCGCGCCCCTCCTCGCCCCTCGCTCCTATCACGGCTGAATTTTCTGCGGAACGCTATCTTGATGAACCGAGCATGCATTGCATTCTGGCCGACGCGATCGGCCGAGGAAAAACGAGAGAGAGAGAGAGAGAGAGAGAGAGAGAGAGAGAGAAAGAGAGAGAGAGAGAAACTGGAAGGCAGAGAAAGGGAGATATTGTAATATCGGCACGCGCACTCGCGCTCGAGCTTGCTCTCTCTCTCTCTCTCTCTCTCTCTCTCTCTCTCCCTCTCGCTCGAGTGGTTACTAAAAATCATCTATCGGAAATCGATCTGAAATAGGCAAATAAATCCACGGAGATTGCGGCACCCGCGGTCGTATTTCGGCGTGTACTGGCGGGCGTATCAAAAATCGTTACCATTAAACAGTTATTAGCGGGAGTAACGCGAGAATAAGGAGCCGGCCGGGAGATCGAACCAACGCCGATTCGCCGACGGGTCCGCGTGTGGCCTCGAGATTTATTATTTTTCTTCTTCCTTTCCTTGCTTGCTTGAATCGCGACCGCGCGCGATTTTCCCCTTCGCCCTCGTTTCTTTCTCTATTTGCCCTCTTTTCTCCTCCTTTTTTCTCTCATTTTTACACCATGACAATCAGCCCGCGTCCCGTGCGTGGCGTGGCAGCAAGGCGCATGGTGACTCGTTGATTTAACTAATTAACTTAGGACTAATTAACTGAGGAGCCGAGCTGCTGAATGCCGCGGCTATTTATGCTCCGCGCATTTGCTCGTGGCGTGCGAGAAAGCGCGAGAGAGAGGGGGAGAGAGAGAGAGAGAGAGAGAGGGTTAGAGAGAGAGAGGGAGAGGAAAAGAGGGAAAGGAAGGAGAAGGGGAGGGAGCGCAGGAGAGAACGAGCGACCACCGACAGATAGAGCGCATTGAACCGCGGCCGACGAAACCGCGGGCGCGCGAGAGAGCAAAATGTTAATTAAAACTTTTTCCCACGCACGCGAGTGCAGCGCACAGGTATGCGGATGCACAGGTATCTCTTCTCCGCGAAACACGGGCGGCGAGTGTCGCGCCGGACGCGCACGCGCGCGCTTTGGCCTCTCGGAATTTTCGACATTTCGCGCGCGCGCAAGACACGCGGAGGCCATTGATTATTGTCGGCTGTCTAATGAAACATGAAAAGGCCACTCATTCGTGGAAGAAGGATAGAATAAAGAGTGCCGCCAGAGGCGGCCGAAACGTGCGGCGGGCACGTTGATGGAAAGTCCTGAAAACAGCGCATGCAAATGCGTCAGCATCCCCTTTCGCGCAAACCTTCCGCCCCCGCGCCCTCGCCCGCAGCCGCGCTGCCTCACACCCCCCCTCGGCGCGTTCCTAACGAAGCGGCTTCCTGCCTCGGCAGCATCGAACGGTCTTGGGGAAACGCGAAATATCGCCGGGTCTCGCGGAGAGATGCATACACACGGCGCGGCTGTATGCGCGTGCATCCAGCGGGACCATTCATCATCGTGTGAATATTTCACGGCGGTTACGCTAACGAGCGGGCCTTAAGCGGGCGACGAATCGCCCGGGGCATTCGCGAGACGGCCGGGGGGGGGGAGGGTTGGAAGGTGCGGCAGGGGTGCGCTCGCGGTATTATCGGCGGCCCCTTTATTCTTTCCGCGGGTCGTTGAGCGTGAGGGGAGAATCGCGTAATTTCGAGGTTAATTCCGCCGTGTCGCTCGAGGTATAATCGCGCTCGTGTGTGTGTAATAATAACGATAATAATAATAATAATAATAATAATAATAACAATAACGACAATAATAATAATAATAATAATAATAATAATAATAATAATAATAACAACAACAACAACAACGACAATAATAATAATAATCATCATCATATATAACACAATAATAATAATATTTACCATATTGCTGCAAGGTAAAAAATATTTAGCGACATATACACGGGAAATGGCATCAATGGCGCGGCGAAAGGCGGTAACGGCAGTTTTTTTTAAAGCTGATGCTCAGATTTTGCCTAAATAAAACAATATTGAATTGTACGCCCGTGTACGCGCGTGTGTGTGCGTTCTGTGTGACGCGCACAGCATTTACAAAAATGTATCAAAATGCCGGAATCCGCGTTTCAGCATGAAACACACGACGAGAATAATTAATTCACCGAGGGATTCCTTCGACGCGCTGACTCCGCTGACGGCGGGAATTAATCTGAACGTTCATTCGAAAGAATTGTGTAAAAACAGGCACGCGCGATTTATTGAATTCAAAATTTTGCACGGCCGCGACTGTCAACCTTGGAACGAGAGCCATATCACTCTTTCTCTTTCTCTTTCTCTCGTGTAAGCACGCGCGATTGTTCATCGGCGTTATATTTTCGCGAAATGCAAACAAGACAGGCGAGATATTTATAAAATTTAGATGATCGAAGTGGGGCGCGAATGCAAATGACAATTCTGAATAACTCAAACCCTGAACATTCCATTTAATATTCCATAATGCGCGTCACGTGCTCTCCCGACATATTTATGGTCGCGCTATTCATTAGATGCGGAACGAGTGCGTTTGCAACGTTCGTTGATGTTAATATCTTCTCGAAATGTCGCGAAAATGGAAACACGGAAAATTGGCGACGCCGGCGTTTTTGCCTTTGGCCGCGCGACGCAAAACCACGATAGATCCGGAATAACCGAGAGAACCCGTAAATACACGAGAAGACAAAATACATGTCAAAGCGAAGCCAAAATTGGCGCGTGTAATGAATATGCATTCAAGCTGAAATTAAATATTACGATTAAATATTCGCGAGCGACAGAAAAGTCGCCGGTAACTTCGTTACATTATGCGCGACATCGCTTGAAGGTATGAATTTTCCGTGCGAATAATATTTTTTACAGATGTCTTTCTCTGTGCTTTCGACGTGTGATGGACACGTGACAAACTCGAGGAAACGATAAACATGCTGGAATAAAGAAGAAGAAGAAAAAAGAGAAAACACAAGAATTGACGCGTGTGATGAACGTTCGTTCATCGTTGAAGTTAAACCCTGCGGCTGAATATTGAAAGTGATAGAAAAGAGCAACCAGCGACTCGGCAATTAAAAGCGCAGATTCTCCATCCTTCTCGGGTGCACAGTAATGCACAATGCAAACAATATTTTTCACAGACTTACGGTGGTCTCGCACTTGCTGGGGCAGACGCACTTGGCTTCCCCGGCGCTGTCGCTCTCGCACTCGCCGTAGAATTCGCACTTCTTGTTCTCGCAGCCATCTGCGAACAGATCAATGACACGAGATTAGAAACGCATCTCGCGTGACGCAGCCGGCCGGCTGCGTCCGGGCTGCTCCTACGTGCCGGCGGCGTGCAGATTCCGCCGACACGTTCCTTTTGTTCCGTGACATCGCTCGACCTCACTAATCACGCTCGCGCGCCGTGCCACCCCTTGACCGCCCGAGCGGCTAGCTGAGCCACCCTCTCACCGCCTCAGGATAACATTAAAGATTCCCGCGGGTATTTGCATAACGGCGTTCGTTTCGAATGGAATTTTCTCTCTCTCTCTCTCTCTCTCTCTCTCTCTCTCTCTCTCTCTCTCTCCCCCCTAGCGGCCGAATGCGCTATCTGCAGGGGTAGGAAACGCTCGAGACAAAGGGTGCTACCGAAGCGCGAGTAACAGAAGCCGAGGGGCGGCCGCTGGAAAGAGTGGAAAGAGCGATGGCGACGACGACGGCGGCGGTGGCGGCGCAGGCGGAGACCAGGCTTGCCAGTCGAGAAGTTATCTTTAGAATTCATTGAAATCCGCGGCAGGTGCGAGGAGCGCTCGGACGGGGACGAAGGACCAGAGGAAGTGAGAGAGAGACAGAGAGAGAGAGAGAGAGAGAGAGAGAGAGAGAGAGAGAAGGGAGGGTACGCGAGTACAGATTCATCCGGTCGTCGACGTGTCGATGATGCTCGTGGCGCGCGCTAACTTCCCTTCCTCCTCCGGGCTTGAAAACGACGAGGTCACGAGATCGTCGCGCGAGGAGCGTGACTGCGGATAGAGAAAGACAGAGTGAGAGCGGGAGAGAGAGAGAGAGAGAGGGGAGGGGAAAGGAAGGGTGGGAAGGATAGCGACGAGCACAAGGAAGCGCATGCATATGCAGCGTGCATGCCGTGGGGTAACAACTCATATGATTTCAGAGCGGAGCGACACGATGCACGGCGCACGGAACTGAATTCTAACCGGCGCGCGTTCCGCTCAATTTTCAGTTGGGAGGAAAGAGGGAGAGAGGGAGAGAGAGAGAGAGAGAGAGAAAGAGGAAAAGAGGTCCGGCCGGTCGAGGGGTAATGAAAATCATCGCGCGCCGCGCGATTTATAGGCGATTGCGATAGCGGCGGATCGCGTGCGTCGCGGAATCGCGGCGGCGCCGGTTAATTCTATTATTACCGCGAGCTTATTACGGGAAAATATTGCGCGCTCCGGTGTGAAGTCTCGAACGGACCGTTTCATAGGGGTGGGGGTGGCGGCGGCGGCGGCGGTGGAAGGTGGTCGTATCCCGGACGCCGGCTATGAATGCGAAAGATTGCGCGATAAGCGTGTAATTGCACGGAGCATTCGTTCCGTTATCTTAACGCGTCATTGACCGGCTGTTTTTATCACATTCAGTGGAAACGAGGGCTCGCAGATTTATAATCCGCCATGGAGATTCGCCGGAGGCCTGCGAGAATGCAGAATCTAGACGCATATGTACATGTACACACACACATATAATAGTAATAATAATCAGCGAGCAACAATATTTAATAATCAGAGAATGTAACAATCAGAGTAACAATACAGCCGCACAATGGTGCAAGGCGCCAGTCACTGCATTGAGAAGTATTATTGCGTGGCTGTTATTGTTACGCTGATTATTATTACCGAAGCGTCATTTATCCAGCGCTCTCTAAGGCGCGAGGCTTCTCGAGCGCGAGCTGAGAAGCACACAGTTACCTTGATTCCTGTAAAAGTGTAATATCGCGGTAACATTCACAGAATCTCCGCAGCGAGTTAGCCTGCCTTGTCGCAATGCGGAGAAACAGCCCGGCGAGGAACAAACCTCGAGCGTTTCGGTCCTCAACTCCCTTGCGGAGTTGCGTTTCAGCGCAACGCGTGCGGCACAAACGCGCGAGCGCAACAGCGCTTGCAGCACCGCCGAGTCTTCGTTTCCAATCTTGTTTCGACTACAGTAACTCATGGAGCAGCCGACAATGTTCGACCAGAGAAACATGAGTATTCCCCGAGCGATGCGTCGGCGATGCGTCGAGACGACGCGAAAAACGCTTCTTCTTTGCGGAAGCGGGCGAATTTGCGCTCTCGCGATACCTCGGCCTGTTTCTCGCCTCCTCCTTCTCCCTTGGCCGAAACTATGATTTTAGATTCGCCGTTTGCCACGTGTGTGTGTGTGTGTGTGTGTGTGTGTGTGTGTGTGTGTGCGCGCGCGCTCGATATTAAAAGCAATCCAATCTTTCTCCGGCGCGCCCCGCCGGTACGTGTGTTATGAGGAAAGTTCGGTAAACCTCGGCACGGGTACGCGTCTCGTAGGTACTCCGGCGCGGCGGATCACCCACCTCAGCGTGCCGCATCCCATTTCATCAGATTTTTGTGATGGAAATTACTGTTTGTGTTTAGACTAACTTCGGCGAGTACGCGATTTTATATTCGGTGCCTCAGAGTGTCGCACGTTGACTGGCAGCAGAGGGTTGATGGTAGTGATGACGGCGGGAGGGGGAAGGTAGTTTGATGGAATCGCTGTTTAAACGTATTCCCATGCCGGCGGCCGCTTGATAAATCCTCCTTCGGAGAGCGGACTCGCTTGTCCGCGCCGTGTTGACAAGTGGAACTTTTTAATAAAGATGCAAATCGGAAATGTTACGATTTATTTCTGCGCCGCCGCCGCCGCCGGGCGCAGGAGTACACGAGAACGAGATGCGTCGGAAAAGTTCATGAAGCGACCGGTGCGAGCCTGACGTGCGACTCGAGCGGAAAAAGTATCCCGAGTGTGGCTCGTTCCAACTATTACCTCTCGTCCTGCTCGGGACTTACAGAATAAAAAATACATCGTTGAGAATCAACGGAGGATATCTCAAGGAGGCATCTCAGTGTTCCCGTGCCGCTCAAAAGGGCGCTCTTTTCTCCGTTATTTACCTTTTTAAGAGGAACTTTGAAACTTAGAAAATTCATCAAAAGGGCAGTTCTCTGGCAGTTTTAATTTTATTCAAAAATTGACAAGGACGCGTCTCATATTTCCGCGCCGAAGGGATGTACGCAGATCGACATATCCTTAACACATGAAGTTATATTACTTCAGAACTTTATATTACATTATTCCGTAAGATATAATGTATTCCGCAAGTTATATTGTCCCACACAGTCAGCGGAACAAAGATTGCAACACTTTCATCCCGATGAACTTCGGAATACATCCGTCATTCCCGAGACAAGAGAACTAATTTCTTAGTAATCCCTAAGAGACAAAATTTCCTATTGGATGTCTTCTAACATTCCTCGAGGCGAAAGCGTAGAAACGCTTCTCTCATCGATGTTACTTCGTCTTGGTATGTTACTTCACGTGTCGACACGTTGACTGCCACGCTGATTTCCGCTGGTTATTTCAACTCCCCCCAATTCAAGCGTTCGAATCGCCAAAAATGCGATGAAGATAAACGCAATTCGCGATGAAGAATCTCATTAGCTCGTCTTATTGGCTCCTTATCGGCTATATATATTGAAATTGTAAGCAGTTTTGTTCACGTTTCAAATATATATAATATTGTATTAAGAGTGTGATTTAGTTTTGAGAATTTTGTAAGAGATTGCAGGAGAAATAATGTCAGTTTTGTCGAAGACATCCCAATATCACAGCTATTGTTTCTTAACGCCTTAATATTAATTCATGATAATATTAATTCATGATTTCATCGATTTACTAACAACAAACGCAGTAAAGATCGTATTAATACCATCTTAAAAATGGAGCTTCCTAAAGAGCATTTTCGATATGCGTTGCTTTTGCTTCTTGTTTTTCACTTAGAAGAAAACGGCGGCTGAAGGTTATAGAATTCTGATAGAAACTTATGGTGATGTTTCATCAATTGAGACATGTGAATATTGGCTTAGACGATTCAAGAGTGGTGATTTCTATGTTAACGACAAAAACCGCTCGGGACAACCAAAAAAATTTGGAAATGCAGATTGAAAGATGCAGATGAAAGAGAGACTGCTCGAATCAACGCGAACGAGCCAAACTCGTTTTGGCCGAAGAGAAGAGAAATTCTTCACAAGCGAAATCCGCTATTCTGAGAACCGGGGATTCTGTCTCTTTCGACTAAAATGCGCTTGGCTCATTCGTCATCATCAGAGTTGGACCAATCTTTTCCTCCGTGTGGTCGGCCGCTATGGCAGCCGACGCGTTGTTACCGTCTGCGTACTCGTGAATTTCGCGAGATCCGTTTAACTTCGCGTCCGCCGGTGATTTCGAGCCACCCCCCCCAGGTTACTCATATCCGAGGGTCATCCGAGGGAAGAGCACGCACGAGCATTGCGCAACGCTTCCGCGAGCGGGAGGATTTGCGTTGGGAATGAACAGCGCCAGGTGTCAGCCCGCAATCGTTCCTCCAGGCTAACGTCGAGTTGTGCGTTTGTTTCGCGCTGAAAAGCGCCTCATTCGCCAGTGATTTCCATAAAGACGAGCGCAAAGATGAAGCCGGCGGGCGGGCGGCTGAAAGTGGGCTGAAGGATTTTCTGCCTCGTTTCATCCACGCGATACGCTCCCGTCGCCGCGAGACGGAGAAAAACTCGCCAGCTCCGAGAGACTCGAAAGCGAAAAGAGGGCGCCGTGGTAATATTTATTAGTGCGCGATATATTCATCGTTCGACTAATGCGTACCTTTTTACCCAGCCGTATTAATAGTCACGACTCGAGGCTCGTCTCGAGCGAGTAACTCGCATTTGAATTGAAAATTGGGCGTGAGTTTTTCAGTATTTGTATCACGACTGTAAATATCATTGCGCGTACATCATACGATTCAACTGAGAAGCTGAGATCCGACTTGAAATTTAAATCGGCGCACCTCTCGTCTCAGGTGAGTACTTACGTTAGAATTTAGAATAGGACGCGAGTCTTTCAATTGAATCGCGATTGCAGATGTAATATCACGCGTGTCGCGCGATTCGGCTGGAAAGTTCCGAAATCACTTTAAATTCTAACCTGAGTGCCTCTAACGTGGAGCAAGCTCGAAGCAAAGACTGCTTATTAATAGGGGCCTCGTGATTACGTAATAGCGCGTTACCACTTTTTGCAAAAGACCGATCTTTCTCTTCCAAAAACCGATCTTTCAATCGATTCTCTCAGCTGTTGATTCCAGCGTGAATTCTTTATTAAACGAAACGTTCTCTATTGAAAAGAAGCGATTCAAAAATCGAGCAGAAAGGAATCGATTTAAAAAGCCGACTCTCTGAAAATCGAATTGAGATCGCGAACTCGCAACGTGCGTCGCGGAGACGCGGTTATACGAATCGTAACCTCACGAGCGACATTGGGACTATTAACCGAGCCTCTTTATTTTTATATTTATTCTCAAACTCTCGTGTGTACTCGCGACTCTAACTTCCCGCTTATGAGCAAACACGATTCTGTTCGCCTCGTCTCCGCACTCGTTCTACTTATTACAGATTTACATAATAATAAACGAGATTAGAAAACTTTGCCGCGTGATAGGTGTTCTTTCTCTCTTTTTCTCAAGAGAGAAAGAGAGAGAGAGAGAGAGAGAGAAAGCTGCAATCGTCTTTTTCCATTCTTTCGCAGAGTCGAGAAAATGCGTTGCTGTACATGCACCATGCTCCCTCCTCCTGCCCTCATCGTCATTATTCTCGTATCAACCGACATTACCAGCGGGATTACGCGCTACGTCGGAAAATTTGCCGAACGAGAGCGCAGACGGAAAGGCAATCGAGAGAGAGAGAGAGAGAGAGAGAGAGAGAGAGAGAGAGAGAGAGAGAGTGAGAAAGAGAGAGGGGGGAAGGGGAGGTAAGAGAAGAGAGCGCAACATTCATCGTGTGGCTAAGAAAGGACGCGCAGGACGGGAAAATCACCGAGGAATTCGCAAGTCCTTTTCACGAGTCCTGATAACGGCTCGTTCCGGAATATCGAGATGTAAGCAGCAGCGGGGAGAAGGGCGGAGGGGGTAGATTAATAAGAATGAAATTGCGGGGTAGGGGCCAACGTCGTAAAGTACACGGTCGATGAAATCTCCCCGGTTCTCCTTTTCCCCTCGCTCCTGCCCCGCCGCCCTCGTTGGCCGACAAATCCACCCTGGTCAGGATCGGGAAGGCACCGGCGTCGTTATTAAAGGCATCGTGGAAAATAATAAAATGAAGATTAATAGCGCGGCCTCGCGTGCAGCCGCGATGATGTATCGTCGTGTACACAGTGTGCATGAAGTTGTTTACGATATCGCCGGAATTCCTATTGCCGGCGCTGGAAGAAAAGAAATGCTCTCTCTTTCTCTCCCCCTCTGGCCCTTCTTCTCTCTCGCAGCCGCGCCGTTGAACGGTATCGCTGGAAACACATCTCTGACGGGCGGCGGACGTGCATGACTTTATCGAGTGCGGAACAAAACTCGCCGTACAATGTCCCCGGGGAGAAGGAAAAACTGTCATCAATGCGGGAGCAATAGAGCGGAGACAATGGGACGTTTTAATAAAGCGCAAGTATCCGAGCTCTGCGTGAAAAATTAACAGAACGAAAGTGCTAGCTTTTGTATTCATTGTGTGTTTAAGGGAGAGCGGAGCGGACTTTTTTCTTTTTACTCGCGTCGAACGTTGCGGAAGTGTCGGCTTGTGTGAGGAGTAATTTCGGGCCTTCCGGCTGAAACGAGGCGATTGTATTTTACATTAGCGTGCCGTATGTGTGTGTGTGTGTGTGTGTGTGTGTGGAAAGTACGCTGTCGATGGAATTTGATTCTTAACTCCAATGACTCTTTAATTTGTTCCTGCCTGCGGATAAACGGAAGCGTTTTGTGAAACATTTTCAGGTGAAGCTTCACGATAAAGTGTTTAGTAACAGCGATGGACGCTCAGATGCTGACTTGTCACTTGGTGATATTTTTGTGTCGTTATGATCTTATGAAAAAATATGCGCAGAAGGATGGCGGGAGATTCCAGGTCGAAACGACGCGTGAATTACATATTTCATGAGATTATAACGACATGAAAAAATACGATCGACCCATTTTTTACTTGCAAAAAATTCTAGATTACTCGACGGACGATATTCCAATATTCCTGCAAAATAAGGATGCGATAGGAGAGGATCCTGCGATCGATCGACGAATCATTTCCTCTCTCTCTCTCTCTCTCTCTCTCTCTCTCTCTCTCTTTCTCTCTCTCTCCCTCGCCTCGCGAGAATGCGAGGAGTCGGTCGTGTATCGCGTCGAATGCGAATGCAGAAGGCAGAAGCGCGGCCCGGCCGATCGATCGGCATTTAATTCCGAGGGAAACACGCGAAGCCATCGACGTTAATCAAGTTTCATGCCGCCTACGCTACTTAAGATCGTTCAGAAATCCGTTATAAATTCAATTTACCCCGGCCGGATATTCAAATTAGTCGCAGCAAGTTTTAACCTACCGCCACGCGGGGCGGTTACGCGATCGTATATTAACCCGCCGCTGCCGCTGCTGTCCGACCACTCCGGCATATTAAAATCGCAGATTTGTTCTCTTAACGCCCCCGCCCCCATTCCCCTGCCGCTCCATCTCCCTAGCCACCCCGGCCCTGCCGGCGAGTCGGAAATTACTTTCCACGCTTAATATCAGGATGCCGATAAGGATACGCTCGGTACGAAGCGATCCGCTAGTTTGGATTGGGAATTCAAAATTTTATGTGATTAATCGGAGAATATTCCCTTTTTCCAAAGATCTCGCGGCGGAGGGAAGGGAGGAGGTGAGCCGTTTAAGAGATTAACTCGCTAGCGATTATTTCCGCGCGACGAAGGTACGTAGCGATACACGAAAGATAAAAAGCGAGAGAGAGAGAGAGAGAAAGAGAGAGAGAGAGAGAGAGAGAGCGAGAGAGGGAGCGCAATTCGAAGATGATAATACGAATTTAAATACGCTTAGAAGCTGAAAGGACGCAGAGATGATCGTTCCGCCGGCAGGGTGAAAGAGAGAGAGAGAGAGAGAGAGAGAGAGAGAGAGAGAGAGAGAGAGAAAGAGAGAGAGAGAGAGAGAGAGAGAGTTCATATTATCGGTTTTAGAGCTTCTCGACGAGCGGCGTCGCACACAATCGAAGTCCGCTCCATCCATCCGTCCGTTCGTTCGGCTCTCTGGTCGCGTTATCGAAAAAATGCTCGAAACGGAGGGGCCTCGATGGAGAATATAATTCCGTTCACGGTACTCACTGCACAGTCCTTCGTACAGAACGCGTATCTCCCGTCGATGCTGACACGCCTCCAGGCGAAGCTTGCACTCGTTGCCGTAGCTGATGCCGTCATCGCCGCAGACCGGCTGAAATTCCGCCGGACAAGTCGGGCACTCGCACACGGCGTTGCCGCCGTTCTCCGCGCAGATTGCACCCCATTGACATACCTGCGAACCGAATAACCGCACACGCGGTGTTATTAAACGGCGAAAGCGTCGCTGCGTGTGCGTGTCCGTGTCGACACGCGCGGGAAACGCGGTCGCACTTTGCTCGCTTTTCTCTGTGATTCGATCGATGAAGCGATTCATAAAGCAAGCCCTCTAGGAACGTATGTACAATTTTTTTTTTTTTTAAAGCACTCTACAGTCTGTCTCTTCATACGTACAATTTTAGAGTGAACTATTTTGAAATAAACGTTGCAATGTGCGATACCTCGTGATATAACACGTGAGGAAGGTATAGTTGAGGAGAGAGAAAAGGAACGGTGAAACCTGCGAACTTTCACCGTCGAAGGTTGAATTTAGGGGTGGCATGCTCTTCTTGCCCCTTTCAACAAAATCAACGTTGTAATAGTAATTTAGAGCCGGCTGATAATTACAGGATCTTGCTTCCTGTATCGGGAGAAACTTTTTTCCGTAGATTTTCCGTGAGCGGGAGAGTAAAAGACGGCACGGCACGGCCGAATTAAAAATGTAGACAAGGAATTAATTAGTTGGCGGAAACTTTCTCGACTACATCGAGAATATCGAAGTTCATCAGGAAGTCCATGAGCAAAGAAATGCGCAGGTAAGCGGGCGCGAGTGTGAGCCGCGAGACAGCCCGATACCGCGAGTGTCTTTGTGAAATTCATTGGGCACGATTCTTTTCCCTTTTCCTCTCTGTCGGTATCCACCGCCACTGGCTTTCCCACGAAGATACCGCGGCTCGGTGTCATCCAATTAGCGACAATTGCTTTCGGCGAAGGAACTCGTCGAAACAGCGAGGATCTCACCTCGGGCTTTCGAATTTTGCCGGGAAATCGAGAAAGTATCGGAAAGGAGAAATAGAGAAAGGAAGAGAGAGGGGGAGGGGGAGGAGAAGAGAATTCCGTGCCGTGCCGTCGAACTCCTGATCCCTTCCAATTTCTGCGGTGAATACATCTAGCAATTTCCATTTCGCGAGCTCGCTCGATGTCGATTACAAACCTTGTTTTGTAGACCGATAGTATTCCTAACTTAAATCTAACTGAATCGCACCGTTCGGAATAGCGACGAATGTTTCTCGTGAAAACAACGGTAGAAACGATATCAACGAGAGGGAGAGGGAGGGAGAGAGAGAAAGAGAGAGGAAGAGAGAGAGAGAGAGAGAGAGAGAGAGGTGAAAAGAGAAAGGGTAAAAATACAGAGAAAATCTAGAAAATAGATACATATCGTCGTTGTGATAAATGTACAGCTATTTAATAGAACAACTGCGCGCAATAACTAGTTTATCGTCGAATCAAATCTTTTTTATTTCAAAATCAAATTAAATTTCGACCTCCATAGTTCCCCTTTGTCATAGCGGCGCGTAAAAAATAACTGGATACAGTAATGTCTGATACATCCAAAGCTTCGAAGCTTCGTTATAGTTCGACGCTTGAAATTAAAAGTCGAAGCTTTGAGTAATTAGACGTTGAAGCTCCGAACGCTGTTCGAAAACTTCAAATGTCTCGTTAACTCTCGCTAGCCCTTAACGGCGCTCAGTAGAAATTCAATAGAGATTCTGTACTCGTTCAATCGCACGCTTCTCTTCGAGTTGCCAAGACACCGAATAATCAGACCCTCGAATATATCCGAAGAACCGCCTTGGAAACTTTCATTATTCGAAAATAACCCTCCCCAGGCGTGGGAAATTCGAAGCTTCGAAGAAGCGGAGCTCCACGTGTAATTTACGGTCCTAGCAATAACCGCTGCCGTCCCGTCTCCTCCCGGTGCACCCCTTCGCACCCGATGGTCGTCAATCCGTACGGTTTAATGAAATATGCCGCGCAAGACGCGCGAGACGCGGTTAACGTTCCCAAGAACGAGACATTCCCCGAAGAGCAATAATTCGTGACGTCGCGAGGCCGCCTCCTCCCCTGGCCGTAATCTCGCGGCGAGCGGAAGCTCGCTAACCGCGGCAGCATGTTACGAAGCGTACGAACGGCGTTCCGCGCGTTCCCCGCGCGCGCGCGCGGGGAGGCCGCGCTGACGACTGACCTTCTCTGAGCAGGGCCCCCTGGAGCCGCACGTGCCGGCATAGGCGACCTCGATGTTGCTCCTCGTCAGACACGCCTGTCTCTTCAGCTCGCACATGGACGTGTAGGTGGTGCCACCGCGGACGCACACTGGCCGCATCACCGGTTCGCACTCGGGGCCGCATTCACAGTTGGCGATGCCGTAACGGTTGATGACGCACTGCTCGTAGGAGCTGCACTTGGCCTCGTCGCAAGGGTTCGTTCCTGCGGAAGAAGGAACAGGATTTTCGAGAGCGATCTCGCGCCGGGCGATTTGTCGTCTCGCGTCCCCTGCGCTTGGGTCGGATAATTTTCGATTTACCGGGAGATAGGCGATACACGGGGGTTGATGGTTGCTTTTATACAGGGTGTGTCGAAAGGTAAGGTCGGAGTAGGAAGCGCAAGAATATATATAAACTTTTTTGTATTCCTTATGGTTTAATAAACGCAACGCTTTATATGGATGTAGAAAATGTTGAAACCTATTAACATCTTGGAAAATATTTTCGACAGAAATGTTCCATGCAAAAGTCGTAGGATTTGAAGTAACGTTTTAAACAATGAAAGCAGCATAACCTGGAATAACGTTTTCAAGATTATGTAAAAATTTCAAATATTTAAATTTCAAAGTAATCCTTACGTAACTTTGACAACGCTATTCAAGCTCATATTAATTTTATTGTGTAATGTGTCACTTAAAATCCTGCAACTTTTGTATGGAGCATTTTTTTCGAAAACGCGTATCTTTTTTAATATTAAGAGGTTTCAACTGAAATTTCCGTATAAAGCGCTGTATTTGTTAAACCATAGTAAATATGAATAAAATTTTATATACATTATATATTCTATTTCTATCCAACTCCTCTTTTACCTCCTGATTGGTTGATTTTATCTTTAAACACCCTGTATATTTCCGATCTAAAGTTGGTTCATCAGGAATGTTTTCATAGAAATGAAAGAAAGGAAATTCGAAAACGATCGCGCGACATCGCGGGGCGGTTTTTCGCTTTTTTCATCGTGCACATTTTGCGCTTTTGGCTCGGACAATCTTTGACTTCCGGATATACAAAATAATAGGCGTTTTTATTTCCATTCTAAGAACAACATTCTAAGAACGTTTCTCGCGCGAAGAAAGAAAATTTAAAATAGATCATGAATATTTTTGCCTCGCATATTTTGCGTTCAGCTTGTGGATGATATTTGTTCTTCGAATAGAGATAGATAGCTGAAAGCTCTTATTTCTATTTTTGGGCAAGTAACATTTTGCTTGCGGATGATATGTGTTCTTCGAATAGAGACAGATAGCTGAAAGCTCTTATTTCTATTTTGAGGCAAGTAACATTATTTTCGTTCATTTTCTTTCTGATATATGCAGGGTATCTGGGATCTTTTGAAAACGAAAAATTATGAAGATTAATCAGACCAAACTGAGAAGAAAAGTCACGTATTATTTTGCAAAAATAGCAATAGTTATTAAGTTATTAATGATTGAAAATAACCATCTAGAAGCTTCTTTAAATTGATAAATTGAAAATTTGCATACTTATTTGCAAAATGATAAAGGACTCTTATTCAGAATGACCTAATCTACAATTGTATGCTATTGTATCTAGCGACAGGTTCAAGATCTAGGGTTCAAAGTTCAATATATTCATATCTATCGCTAGACACAATAGCCGAAGTATTATGGATAACGACGGCGGTTGGCCGATGATGAATAATTCGTTTTCCTCGCGTTAACGAGATAAGGTGAAATTTGACTGAAAAATCGAGCCGAGCCCTTCCTTCGATCAACCCAATGCGTCATGAATAGTTTTCGCATTACCGGAATTGCAGGCGCCATTGTAGACCTTTCTGAGGGGCAATCTCGACCGACAGGCTTCCTGTCGGAGGCTGCACTCGTTCGAGTACGTCTTGCCGTCGCTGCTGCAAACCGGTGCGAATTCCAGGCCACATTGTTCCCCGCAGCGACAAGCAGGTTGCCGCGAACCGTCCAACTGGCAGATCTCCGGCTCTACGCACTCCACGCTGCTGCAAGGATCTGCAAAATCGATTCGCGAGTCGACGTTAGGCCCGAGTTACGTGAATTCGATAAATATGACTTAGGGCCTGGTAACAATTGTTATTTGTGAATCGTCCCAAGTGAGATATTCAGATTTGAGTTCAGAATTAGGTGAGAGTTTTTCAGTCGAGTCCCGACTGAATTTCAGCGACAAATTTCAGCGAGTAACATGTATAATTCAAAAGCCCTTAAATCCGATCTATAAAAGTACGAATATCGCACAGATGAGCTTTGATAATTATAAAATCAAGTTTGAGTGTGCAGGATATTCCAGTCCTCGGACTTTAATCTTACCGACGGATTCCCCGAGTAATTTAGAGTTAAATTGTTCTCAGCAAAAATGTTGAGGAAGGTCATTAATCACGGTGATTGTTCACCATCATGTATCTTAGTAACTAATGTCCGAAGTAAAATTCCGTTAAAGTAAAGTCCACTCGAAATTTATCGAGGAGAATCGTTTTATTGTCCTATTTGATTGCTCCAAAATTAGTTTGCGGAACCCCTTCCCCTCTCTTTCTCTCTCTCTCTCTCTCTCTCTCTCTCTCTCTCTCTCTCTCTCTCTCTCTCACTCTTCTCTCTCTCGATCGCTTCTATCTCAGGAACTGTTGATGTTCCAGCATTTTCGCTGAGAAAAAAATTCACTCCAAATTGCTCCGAGAATTCCTCGGTGAGCTTAAGTCGCGAGAACCGGGACATCCTGTCTGCCGCGAGGAGAAAACTCCTCTTCGACTTCCTGAATACAATATGAGAGAAAAAAGGATAGCTGTTCTTTTTTTCCGTTCGATCGTTTTTCCTCGCCATTGAAGGAAATATTTTTGATCTCGGCCAAACCTCCCGGGATCGAATTCGAATAACCGTTTTTACGACTCCCCCCTGCCCTCTTCGGCATCGTCCGCGGTCTACATACTCCCGCCGCTTGCCGCGACGGAACGAGTTCGCGTGGCTTCGCCACAAGTGCCTCTTAGAAATCTGCGTAAATATAAACGGGTTGCGCGCGAGCGGCGATGCTAGGATGGCCAGCCCAGGTGGATGCAGCTACACGGCTGCGCCGAGATTAATCTTCGCCCTCGACCGAGGAAGGAAGTTGGATTCCGTTTCCTGTCTGCAGGCGGTAGCTAGGTTTCGACCTTATACCGCCGGCTGACGAGGCAAGTTCTCTTCCAGCGGTGGTGTTTCTCGGGGTTAGCTCAAGTTACAGTCCAGTGGAGCGACTAAACTCGAGCCTTCCGCAACCCGACCCCTTCCGCGGTCCTCCTCCTCCTCCTCCTCCTCCTCTCCTTACGCCGGTAGCTAGTTTGAGCCTAACGCTAATCGATCTTGAAAAGTATCTCGTCGTGTCGGCCGTTACGAAACGGGAGACGTCGTCATCTCGCGGTTGCGGCAAACGCGGGTCTCTCTCTCTCTCTCTCTCTCTCTCTCTCTCTCTCTCTCTCTCTCGCGACTGGCATTAAAGCGTAATTATCGAGACACGCGCACACCGCTCGGTCGCACGACGGTACAGTAATTGCTGGGCGCATTGGTGATAAAACACGATGGCGAGAGGCAAGAGGTAAATTATCCTCTCGATCAGTCGCATTTCGAAAAGAGACGCTAACGGGCGCGTCGGCGCATCGCGTGCGCCGTCATCTTCGCCGACGGAGATTTTTTTGTCGAGGAGGCACACTTGTCGGAGAAGTGCCCGTCCCGATTTTCCCGGAGGTTTCCGATAGGTCGTGCGGCGATTAAAATCGTATTCTTTATACGTGCTCTCTCGCGACGTTCGTTTTTTCATTCTGCGTTTATCGATGACGCGTTGAGTCAGTCGCTTTTGGCCGCTTGATAATTTTCAGCGCGCGATCGCGCGAGAGCAAGGAAAGGAGAGGAGGAATTCTTGTACCGCCGTTTGCACCGGGCGAGATAGAGCGATGCCATCGAGCCCTTTCAAGATCTCCCTTAATGGGATTTCTCACCCCGCTTCTTTCGCCGCCCGCCTTGCAGCCTTCATCGAAATACCGGCCACGATTCGACCCGCCGACCCGTCGACGAAGCGCGCGGGGGTGGCTACGCCGGCGCGTTAACTTCACGCGACATTACCCTGATGCGGATTTCTTTGTATTATCGTCGGGCACGACGTGAAAGCCGCGCTGGAAGACCTTTTCAGTATGGACGGCGGGCCGCCGTTCGATCGGGAATCTCCCGTGGAACGTGTTGCAAAGACGGCGTCGCGATGCGATGTATCGCGACGTGAGTGAGTGACTGATGAGCCCGTCGCGTCGGTACACTCCTCGTACTATTCGCGAATAACCATTTCATTTAACAGAGGGCGAATACGAATAACGGAGAATACCGACCTCGTTCGTCGATGGTTATTCCGATAAGGTGCCGCCGAGCGCTCGCCGAGCGCTCGCCGAGCGGAGCTTCGGGGGGAATCATCTTGCCTCTTAAATTGGCCAACTTGGCACAGAGTCGGTCGGTCGTTGATCAACTCGATACTGAAGCCGGTATTAATGGCCGAATTTTATATTTATGATCGACCCAAGTTTATATCTGCAGACGCTTCGCAGCCAATGAAACAACTCGCGCGGTATCCGCGACGGTGAACCTAAGACGAGCTTAAATTCAGCCATGAATATCGCCCTAAGTTGGTCAGTTGAGTTGATACTAGGTTAACCACGTTGGTCTAAATTGGTCGAAGTTGATCCATTTGGTATTAGATTGATCACTGCGATCAAAGTTGTATTATAGTTGCGCTGAAGGAGAGTTAGTAATTTGGACACTCCTCAGTCTAGGAGCACGTAGAAAAACATAGGGAAAAATTTGAGCGGTAGAGGAATCGACCAAAAGCACAGTCGACTATTCTCCTTGCGATCCTTCCTCTCCGATCGACCTGGGTCGGTCAATTTTTTTGACAGCTTAAACCTCGCTGCTTATATTTCTCTATGAACTCTCGGCCTTTCATTTGGAGAATTCTTGACGACCTTCCAGGTTGATCCGGGCGATTTCCGAGGACGATCCTCGGTCAGGATGCAGACACGCGCTCGTAAAATCAGCTGACTTGTGCACGTCAGGGAAGTGAGCGATCTGCAGGTTACTCACTCCCGGCGCAGTAAGTGCGAATATCGACTGTTTTAGTCGCCTCTCTCCCCCTCCATTCCTCCCCCCCCTCATACTTCCGCCTCATTCTACGAGGACGAGCATCTCAGAACTGCGCGTGGCACGGAAAGTCTTCGTTGTAGAATTGCCAGTCGCAGATCGCGAGTCAGATCGAGATCGTCCGTCTTTCATCGCTCAATAAAACGAACAATGAAACGGCTGAAATCCTCGATAAACCGGCCGATAAATTCGCTCGCTCCGGACTTAGCTCTCCTCCGCGAAGAAAGGGTCTCATTGTTCATCCGACGGAGAAGCGCAACCGCCGAGATTCTGAGGTCTGTATAACCGCGAGGCGGCACTCGGAAGCCCGCGAGATTCGCGTGTCTCCAGCGACGTTCGCGCCATTCGCAGGTAGACGTTCGCGGAGAAATATATATTTCCAGGTAGCTGCGGCGGGATATGGAGATCCTGCGGAACGAGATACGCTCAGTCGACGGCACGTCCGCGCGAGCAGCGACACTCGTCTAATAAGGTCGTGGCAGACCGAGGCCTCTCTCTCTCTTTCTCTCTCTCTCTCTCTCATCGAGAGAAGCCGCCTGTCTCTTTACTTATACCGCGAAACGGTCCTGACGCACTACTCTTCTCTTCTTCTCTCCTCTCCTCTCTTCTCTGCTTTCCACGCGGCTCGCTCGCTTGGAAAGCGCGCAGGGTGAGACGAGACGAGACGCGGCGCGACATTAGGCGGGCGCACACGGCGTAAGGGTATTATGTCTAGGGAGCAATGACGGGGTTTATGTTAACAGCGCCTCCGCGATGCTTCCGGCTTGATGCATGCTCCTGCGCGCGCGCCCCCATCTCCTCTCCTTCGATGCGAGTTCGTCCTTCGTCTCTAAGGGCTCTCGCGCCCGAAAGCCTCGCGCGAATCTTCTCGTGAGTCTCCCTTCGCGAGCCTTCCTCTTTCTCTCTGTCTGTCACGCTCTGTATCTCTCTCTCTCTCTCTCTCTCTCTCTCTCTCTCTCTCTCCCCCTTGGCCCCTTCTTTCTCTCGTCCTCGTTCTCTCTCCCCGTGGCACTTAGGCCCCGGGACGCGTAAACATGAAACGCGTAAGAGCAGCCGAGTGTCATGCCGGGAGCGCGGGACGCAATTTACGGGGTTGCGGACGGCGTAAAATTTCGGGCGCGGTTCGACCGGGCGAGCAAGCCGGACAAATTGCCGCCTGGATGCGTAAAGATAAGTTTTTTACGAGCGCGTCAGGCGGAAAGTGCGGCTGGCTTGTGACGCCTCTACGAGGCGCTGTTACGTTTACACGGTCTGGACGACGACGACGACGACGACGACGACGTGCTGACGCCGGCAACGCTGTCGAGCGTGATAACGCTAATCCCCGCGACCTAAAATGGCGTGTCCGTCCTTGACCGTTGGGCGTTTGACACGTGTCAACCGGCTGACCCCATTGGTCCTCGATATTTCCCGCGCTCGCCTCTCCTTTTTCCGATCAGCGGCCCGCGGTGTCGCGATCGACGCGCGATTGTCGGGCGCTTCAGCGCCCCGCGGCAGAAATTGCAAGCCTTTGTATTCTTAACGGCCTTGCACGCGACAACGGTTGCGCTCGCAATTGCAATTTCCGGCCGCCGTTGGTGCCGCGATCCCGCAACCTCATAGCCGGCGATGCGATCGCACGATTGATAGTTCTAGTTTATGGAGCTGACACTTCCGTGCGGTCAAGCGCGCCGACCAGGACCGCGTTGATGCGTCTGAATAATGAGACCGATACTCATTTCCTCTTCCGTTCCGACCGAAGCACTTTACACACACACACAGAGAAAGAGAGAGAGAGAGAGAGAGAGAGGGAGAGAGGTGTACACTTTGTCGAGCGCTGGCGAAGTATTTGTCTCCGCTACTTTTTA